ACCAGCGATTGGGAAGACAAAGACTGAGGAGGGGTAGGTAGGATGAGCTTAGTTTCCCCCTAAAAAGAATCAATATTTTTAAAATAATTTTTAAATGTTTTATTTATTTCTGAGAGAGAGAGAGAGACAGCGTGAGCAGGGGAGGGGCAGAGAGAGAGGGAGACACAGAATCCCAAGCAGCCTCCAGGCCCTGAGCTGTCAGCACAGAGCCCGACGCGGGGCTCGAACCCACGAACCGTGAGATCGTGACCTGAGCTGAAGTCGGACGTTTAACCGACTGAGACACCCAGGCGCCCCTAAAAAGAATCAATATTGTGTAGACCATCTTCTCTGACCTCAGTGCATTTAAATTAGTGACCAACACCGAAAAGGGAGGGGAAAGCATTCTTTTTTTTTTTTTTTTTTTACAAATAGTTTATTGTCAAATTAGTTTCCACATAACACCCAGTGCTCATCCCCACAAGTGCCCTCCTCCATGCCCATCTCCCCTCCTCCCCCCCGCACCCATCAGTCCTCAGTTTGTTCTCAGCATTCAAGAGTCTCTCATGGTTTGCCTCCCTCCCTCTCCCCCACCATTTCCGCCCTTCTTCTCCCCCTTGTTCCTCCGTCAAGTTCCTCCTAATCCTCCTATACGTGCAAATATATGGTATCTGCCCTTCTCTGCCTGACTTATCTCGCTCAGCATAACACCCTCAAGGTCCATCCATGTTGCTACACAGGCCAGATTTCATTCTTCCTCATTGCCATGTAGCATTCCATCGTATAGATAAACCACATCTTCTTGATCCATTCATCTGTTGATGGACACTTAGGCTCTTTCCATGTTTTGGCTATTGTGGAGAGTGCTGCTATGAACATTGGGGTCCATGTGCTCCTATGCCTCAGCATTTCTGGATCCCTTGGGTAAATTCCTAGCAGTGCTATTGCTGGGTCATAAGGGAGTTCTATTGTTAGTTTCCTGAGGAACCTCTACACTGTTTTCCAGAGGGGCTGTACCAGTTTACATTCCCACCAACAGTGCAGGAGGGTGCCCGTTTCTCCACATCCTCGCCAGCATCTAGAGTCCTCTGATTTGCTCATTTTCGCCACTCTGACCGGCGTGAGGTGGTATCTCAGTGTGGTTGTGATTTGTATTTCCCTGGTGAGGAGGGATGCTGAGCATCGTGAGGAAAGCATTCTTTGAACTTAAAAATGTTCTGAGTAACTCATGGAATAAAGAGTAAGTCCCAATGGAGATTAGAAGACACTTAGATCTAAATGGCAGGGAAAGTACTTACCGAACTTGGGAAGTGAAGTAGCAGGGTGTAGGGTGAAATCTATAGCCATGAATAAATTTAAATTTTTTAAAGAAATGTTGAAAATAAGTTTGATGTTGACTATAGGAGCTAGAAAAAGAGAGGCAGAGTAAACCTAAAGTAGATAGAAAGGAAGCAAGCAGATTCAGATAAAAAAATTAGAAACAGTTGATGTAATAAAAGAAAAAGCAAGGTCTTTACAAAACCAATAAAATAACCTGGATTTTTAGTAGGATTCCATAAGCAAGAAAAAATAGAGGACACAAATAAACACTATTAGAAAATTAAAAGAAGATGCAGCTATAGATATAATAGAAATATTAAATTCATAAGAAATATTTTTCCAATAAATTTGAAAGCATAAAGTGGATAATCTTCAAAACTGATTTGGTAAGAAACGCATAAACTAATACAAAATTTTAAAACAAATTTTAATCAAAATCTCCCTATTCAAAATATAACGGTCCAGAAAATTTTATAGGCAAGTTTCACCAGCTTTCCAAGAGACAGACGGTCACAATCATATACAAATTGTTTCGGAGAAAAGAACAAAAGGAAAAAGACCCACCTCACAGGACCACAATCCCAAATAAACGAAATGCGCGTAAGCCTTGCCTCAGGCTCTGCTTTCAGGGGAACCTAGACTCAAACTCAGTTTGAGATGATCTTGGAAGAGCTAAACATACCCACATATGCACGTCCACACATGTGTATGCAGACACCTGTACACACATGCATGTGACATGCACATGCAAACAAGCGTGTATGCACATGCACACACGTAATACACATCCAGGCACCTCACACACACACACACATTCATTCACAATCACATACATATACACACACATGCTCACAATCACACATCTATAATGTATATGCACAATACAGAGACACACTCATGCATCTGCACATGTGCACAGTACATGCATACATACAACACACATGGATATATGTGCATATTCACATGCACACATGCCCAAATAATATATACCTGCACACACAATGCACACACACCCACATGCCCATGTACTCACAGTGCACACACGTGAGTGCATGCACCTGTGCACACTTGTGCACTCACAGACTTTTGCACGCATACTCGCACACAGATATGCACCAGCATACATATACATTTGTCTGCTTCCTCACTGGCCTGCATACCACCTTGTGCATAGTGCGTGTGTACAAACACATCGCTGGATGGAGAGCATTATCACAGTCGGGCCTTCATTTTGTATTTTGAGAAAGTCAACAAGAGGCTTCATAGGGTTATATGTATATATACCTCATTTCCTCGACTTGTAATTGTTTGCCCTCCTGGTACACTGCCCTGAGCAGCTGCCTTGGTGCAGAACTGCCACTGATGCTTTTTGACAGTTTTCCCAGGAGCCAGATGGGTTAATGAGTTCCCTGGTGATGCGGCTTTTCGGGGAGCTCTAAGCCTACTCTGCATCACCCCTGCTCGGCTGCAGTTCCCACTGCTGTTGTAGCCCTACGGCTGCATGACTTTTTCCCCGTTAGATTTCTTTTTAAGTAATCTCCATACCCAGTGTGGGGTTCGAACTCACGACCCGAGACCAGGAGTCACACACCCCGCTGACTGAGCCAGCCACTAAGCGGCTCAGCTACTAAGCATGTGTAAGACACAGAGATTTAAATGTTCTTATGATTGGCCCCTTCTTAAGGACTTGCTAGTAAGTTTTCAGGTTATCTTCTTAGGTTTTTTTTTTTTTTTAATATTTTTATTTATTTCTAGGGGAGAGAGAGAGAGAGAGAGAGACAGCGTGAGCAGGGGAGGGTCAGAGAGAGAGGGAGAAACAGACTCTGAAAAAGGCTCCAGGCTCTGAGCTGGCAGTCAGCACAGAGCCCAACGCGGGACTCGAACCCACGAACCGCGAGATCATGACCTGAGCGAAAGTCGGACGCTTAACCGACTAAGCCACCCACGCGCCCCATATCTTCTTAGGTTTTAAGGTAGACAATCTCGTATTTGAAAATGACTTCCTCCATACAAAATGTAACGTCTTTTTTCTTTTCATGCCGTCTTGCCCAGGATTTCCGGAACACCACAAGAAAAAGGCAGACCTCCTGGCTCCTTTCCTACATTTCTGGTCAATTGTTGCTCAGATGATTATACCCTTGGCTTTTTGTTGCAATATATATACATTTTTTATGTCTGTCAGTACCTTTCTCTTTAGACTTTACTAAGAACTGTCAATAGGTGTCTTTCTTTAAATGGAAAACTTAAGACAAATTAAGTTTTGCCAAACTTTAGCCTTAATTTATTCAGCAGTGTTTGTTCACAGTGATAAGCAACTGGAAAAAGATTTAGGTCACACCCAATCTCTGCCCCTGAAAGCTGACAGTGCAGCCAGGAAATGGTTCTCAATAAAGCAAAACCCGGGGGCACCTGAGTGGCTCAGTCGGTTAAGCATCAGTCTTCAGAGTTTGGCTCGGTCCTGATCTCACCTTCATGAGACAGAGCCCCTTGTCAGGGCTCCTGACGGCGTGGAGGCTGCTTGGCATTCTCTCTCTGCCCCTCTCCCGTTCGTGCTCTCAAAAATAAACTGTAATAAAGCTGTAGCACTGCAACGATGCTAAGTCTATGAACGGAAGCAGCATGGTGCTAAGAGACCTGGTAACGGGGGCGGCGTTGGCCGGGGACACCTGAGGAAATCCTCTCCAAGCCAGGAAGTGAAGGGTAGTGGAAGTCAGCTAGGCCGGGGCAGGGGCAGGGCAGGCTGGGGGCACGGAGATGGGGAGCAGGGCGGGAAGTCTGAGAGGGAGCATCATGGGTGAGCGGTACTGTAGAAGGGAGTATGGCTGGGAAGATCTCAGAGCTTGATTCTCAGAGCAACTGAGAACAGTAATAAGTTGGAGACGGGCTTTAAAAGATCCCTTCGACCGTTGCATGGAGAACGCAGGGGGCGGGGGCCACAGCCCCAGCGCTGGGGGCTGGCAGGCAGAAACGGCAGGGGCTTGGACTCAGCGAAGCGGGGGTCTTCTCGACCCGACCTGAAGGACCTGGTGTCTGCACGTGGGGAGGGAGGCAGAGGGAAGGTCTGGGTCTCAGGCTGCCGGGCAGACAGTGACAGCAGGACAGAAACAGCGTGAGCCTCTCCGTGCAGAGGGCTAACGAGGAGGTGCTGGGTTAGCGGGTGTTGAGTCCAGCAGCAAAGTCTGTGTTGCAGACATAAACTTGGAAACCATGGTGTGTCAAGTGCTGTCAAGCAGAATGCCGAGTAAATAATGAAAAGGGGGCTGGGACTAAAACTTGTGTTCGTCCACATTTACCGTCAGGTTGGGGAAGAGCAGCAGCCGGCAGCGCAGAAGGGAGCCCGGAGGGCCGGCGTGTGGCCGCGGGCGCCCCGCAGCAGGGGCCCCCCGGGGCTCCCCCTCCTGTCCGAGCCAGGCTCCCGTCAGCTCTTCTCGGGACTCTGCTTACAAAGCACACGTAGGGACCATCTTTCCCTACTCGTGATGGTCTTTCAGATGAGCTGTTTTCAAGACTCCGAGTCTAAGGCAGGCAGAGTCGAGTAAGATGGAACAAGACGACTAATACCAACGACCGGGTGTGTTCTTTCGGAAATGAAAGAATTCACAAATAGTGTATATAAATAATGTACCACATCTACTTTTCAAGTTACTTGACCTCACGTTAAAAATTTCACTTCAAAAGACAAAGGAAAAACAAGTCACAAGTGAGCTAACATAAAAGTTTATTGAATAAATACATGCACTGTCATGTAAAATTAGTTGATCAAAAAAGACATTCTATAATAATAATAAAAGCCCTCTGCTGTTTCCATTTGCAGTGGGGACAACCAGAGTATAAATGTGCATACGCCCTGGTCTATGCTGAGCTTCGGTTCCGGAAGAAGGGCTGACCTCCTGATGAAGAGCATCTGCAGGACGAATTCCCAGAGCAGAGGAGAGAAGTGCGGGGAGCACAGCAATGACCTGGAACCTGGGAACAGCAGCGTCACACTTCCGTACGCTAAGGCACAGGAGAAGCAACCCACATGGACAAACAGAATCCAAATCCATTTAAGTTAATTTTCCTCCCATTGGTTTGGCTCAATACAGAAAAGTTAACGTTCCCTTTTCCTAGATGAATCGATCATTAAGCAACAGGGACAGATTTGGGGACCCTGGAGTGAGGAGTCTGGCCTTGAGTGGAATTCCCAGTCCTTCCCATTGATCGCTCATTTTGCCAAACAGGACAGAATCACACCTGGAAATGTTTTTTGTTTTATGTCCTTAGAGTCGTCCCTTTTCTCTCTTTCCCTTTAAGAGAAGGCAGCCCACTGCCAGGGTCCCCAGGCTCCTCCGTCCTGCGGCGAAGGCGGGTCTCATGCTGCTGTTGGCTTTCTGCTCTTCCTTGTATCTATTCTGCCTGATCGCTTACAGCATTCCATAAGGTCAATTAATACCGAAAGGTGAGCACATGGCTGCAAAACAAGATGTTTAGGATGTTGGGGAAAATTACAGGTATGATAAATTCCAGTCAGTGGTCATTTTTTACAGATTATGCCAGAGGCCCTTCAACAGACTGAAAAAAAAATAATCTTCAATAAATCTAATACCATGGACAGGCAACCAGACTTATTACCTGCTTTTATCTTGCTGCTGAAATACCACCGCAGTTAAATGTTTTGTGTGCATGTATATTCATGTGTACGCCAACATATTCATAAACTTCTGTACATTACTGTTGGAAACGGTTTATAACGAGGCTTTATAGTGAAGTTTCACTAAATAGGAAGCAGTGAGATTACACTGGTCTTTACGATTACATGAACCGTGCTGTGAGGCTATAGACTCCATTATAGATAAACCTATGGTTTAAAGTGTAAATTAAAACAAGCGTGAGCTCTGCTGGCAGGCAGGAGTACGCAAGGTGACAGCCAACGTCCACCACAGGCACTTTGGTGTGTTTGGTCACATGGGCTGCCCACGAGTCCGTGAGGCGCTTTACAGTAAGATCTCCGATTTCAATCACAAAGCTTGGTTCCCCCAGTATCCTCACACATGGTTTCAGAATGTTCTGATGGCTGAGGAAGTCATTTGCATCATACAGCTTAACACACTGAAAACTCTTTCTGTGTCCATGTGTGCTTCTGACAGGCGTGCACGGCTTACACGCTGCCACGGAGCCTCACCCCCCAAGAGGTCTGGGACACGAGGATGTAAAACGTGCTTTTGGTGATCTAAACAGAAAAAAATATTCCAAAATAAAACCTGTATCACAGCATCCCCATACTGAGGTCAGTCATGGCATAAGGTGAGGAAACCGCAGAAACAGTTATTTACAACAGAGCCACCGTCTGGCCCCAGAGCAGCCTCTGCGTTGGGCAAAAGGAAGCCAGGCGCCAGCTCAGGGCTTCTGTCAACGTGTGAGGTCACACTGACGGGTGAATGAACGAGCTGTTGGCTTTTAAAGCAACTTCCTACCTCCTTCCCCAGATCTACCTCACAAACTCTATGGTGACCACGTGAGCCTGTCTGTCTTCACAGGCTGGGAAAACACTGAAAACTAACAAGCCTTATGACCGACTATTTCACAATAGCCTAACTGCTAACATTGAAAATTTGTGTTGTATTTTAGGAAGTATAACTGTGTATCTGTGTACTACTTCATGAATACGTTCTATCAGGCAATTAAGACATTTCATGTAAGAAACTTCAAATTAGTGCTCTAGGATTTCTGAACAATGACAATGCTTTTAGTATTTTGTATCACTCAGTTACACGTTTCCTTAGAAGCACTTCAACTGACTTCTCAAAAATACATTATTTCTATTTATAAAAGTGGTAATATTTTGAATATTTTCTTCATTTGTGATGGGCAGACTATACTTATTTAATATTTAATCTTTCAGCTTTTCTTTTTAAAAAGAAACACCATAAAATTGGTCACCGAGAACTTTTTCCTGCAAAGACAAAATTATTATGTGTCATAAGAATTTCATAAGTTTTAGAAAAAAAATATATTTCCTTAATCCATTTTCTCCAGAGTTCAAACCAGCACGTAGAGATTATAAAAAATAGTCTATTTACATGGCAGAGTGTACCTCAGTGAGTACAAAACAAGGCAACAGTCAAGCATATACACAGATCTGCTTCCTGGCCAATATGACGACGTACAGCTTTACGTGACACGATGACTACTACCCTATTATACGCTAGAGTAACTGGTGAAATACTACAGGAAATTAAACAACAAAACTTGATGATAATATTGGCCAATATGCCTGAAACGTCAGCATGTTTTATAAAACTATTAAGATATGTATAACTAAATACACTGAAATTATAAAAACAATATTGGTGTGTCTGTGAGGGGTGCACCGCGAGCGCACGAAGGTGGGTGGACACGCCGGGTGGGCTCCTCGTGCCTGGCAGGGACTACGTCACCACGTGTGGTCTCGTGCCATCTTCTGTGAGGTCGTACCTAGGGGTGCATGGGGACATGACGACAGACATGCGGTCAACTGGGGAAAGTGTTGTGGGTACACACGCGGGGCTCGTCCGTGGTGGACACTCACCACTGCGTCCAGCCCTTGGCCAGTTCTTCGGACGCCAGACCGACCAGCACCTGCGGGTTAAACGACACCTGTGACAGTGGGTGGAGCGAGCTGCTGCTGCCTCGCTTCTCCCGGCCTCTCCGACATCCTGCTTCAGTCTGGAGCCCACTCCGTACCTGGAGTGTCTCCCCGTCAGGGCTTTTGACACCGACGGCCCCCCATGAATGACATGGCGGGTCATAACCAAGAGCTCTGCCCTGTATCCAGGGCTCTCAAACTTCAGTTATTAAGAAGGACCAGTGCAGGGGCGCCTGGGTGGCTTAGTCGGTTAAGCGACCGACTTTCGCTCAGGTCATGATCTCGCGGTTCGTGGGTTCGAGCCCCGTGTCGGGCTCTGTGCTGACTGCCAGCTCGGAGCCTGGAGCCTGTTTCAGTCTGTGACTCCCTCTCTCTCTGACCCTCCCCTGCTCACGCTGTCTCTCTCTCTCTCCTAGAAATAAATAAAAATATAAAAAAAAAAAGGACCAGTGCAGATAATTTACAGAAGTACTGGCTCAGGCGCCATCACTGCCAGCATGCAGGTACGGATTATCTGTAATATATTATGCTAAACTCCTCTTGCCTAACTGGAGCTCCAGGTACATTTTATATTAAAAATATAAAATCTTACACATGATTTACATGTGAATTTAGACAAAGACCAGAATAAATTTAGAGAAATTAAGCCACTAATTGTCAGAAAAAGAATAGTTGGCTAGTGAAGGAGGTAGAATTGTTAAAAGAATATTTTCCTTCATGTTTTCTTTCAATGTGACCCAACATTTTTTTAATTAAAAAATTAACTCTTCAACTATATGTTCATAGTACTTGTATGAGGAATATGCCAATAATATAAATATGTAAAAACAATGAAAATAAAATAATTTTCAAAATGTGCTCATGTTTTAGATGACATGGTCTTTCATGGCCCACTATTTTATAAATAAGCATTAATCAGAGAGGAAGTTCACTCCTTTCCATTTATTTAACTATGGTCTAAGACCATGCCCCTAGGGTTAAGTGTTTAACGTTTATAAAATAAAGGAACCGGATCAAGGATATTTTTTAAACTTACTTTGCCAAGAAGCCCTTTATCTTTGGACAGGAAGCCGCCACTGTTCTTCACTGCTACGTCCAGTGTTCTCCTCTGCACTTCTGGTAATGAAACACTGAAATCAAAGCTGACATGGAAAAGAGAAACCCTTCCATAACTTTCTCCACAATGTTGTGGTAGTTTAATTATGACCAAAAAATGACACTTCTGCTCATGAGACAGTTCCAAATGTTATGATGTTTTTATTATAAAATTGACTTCTGTTCAATGTTTAGATCTGGCATTTCATGAAGGCTCAAAAATAATTTTTCCCCATTATTTTCCAAACATAACTGAAGACTCTGGCATCCTAAGTAGGCGAAAGGTTGTGGGTAAGTGATGAATTACTGAATTCTAACTCTGAAACCAACAATGCATAATATTGTATGTTAACTAAAATTTAAAAAAAATAAAAATAAAAACCAAAACTAAGTATGTGAAAGACCCTCCTGCCTGTGGCTCCTTCATGTATAGGGAGGGGTGTTCTTTGAACACCTGCCCCACCTCTTCCCAGTAGGTGCAATGGGAGACTGGATGTAGGCAGGACACAGCTGTTAAGTCCACACCAGTTCTCTCATCCAGGCTTAAAGACTAAAGAACAGTAATTACAAAGCCGGGGTGAGTGAAATAAAGACAAGTATTATGTGATATAGCTTCATGGAAGGGAAAGGATCCGTAGTGCCCTTTTTAATGGTTGAAGTCAGAAACAAACATGCCTCAGGGAGCCAAGTTCTCAAAGCTGGCTGGAGTCTGGCCACTGTGAGGCAGAGTCTCTGGCAAACCAGAGGGTTGGGGGCCTAAGACCCCGGAGGGACAGGACTGGAATGTGACCAGCCTTTCCAGGAAGCTTCAGCAGCTAGAAACCCAGACCTGCAGGTGGGGTCTCTGAATCCTTAACCTTAGCTGCAGCCAAGTGACAACACTGTCAAAATGTGCTCACACCAGGGACTGGTGCACACCTCCTGTCAGTTTCTGTCGGTGATTTAAAAAGAGTTGCTGGCATGAACATATGATAAACAACCAGTCCCTTTAAAGATAAATGTAAACAAAAATGACAGATATTCTGACACCATTTGACTCTGTTATGCTGACTATGTTTTTAAGCTACAGACACTGTAATGTGGGGTAACGAATCTGCAGACTGAAGCTCTTTAAGTGTGGTGTGAGGTCCCTGGAGACCCTGAGGCGCTCTCTGGAGGTTTCCGATGGCAGAAGCAGACACAACCTCTATCAAGAGACCATTAAAGGGATCTGTAAAAATGTTAAACGATAATGCCATTCTTTTCACTTTTTTTATTGTTTTGGAAACTAGTTGTTTTTCAGAAGGATGTTATGTTTTAAATTATCATAGACTTATTGTTGTTTAAAATAAACTTAAAGTATACTTATTGTTGAATTCTTAGTTTTTACTTGTATGTGTTAGTCTGGAGTTTTTTCACTGATACATCCCAACAGTGTGTTGGTTTAAATGCATTAGTCAAAGAGGTATTGATCAAACCTTTCTTAATTTCTTAACTCGACAGTCTACCCGCCTGAGTGAGCACCATTACCTCTGGTCAAACACGGGGTTCAGTGTTTTCTTTGACACGTGTGTTTTCCTCCTTCCTGACCTCCTCTTGTCCGGTAACAGATACATGCGGACGTAGGGGTCAGAGCCGTCCTCAGAGAAGGCAATGAGATTTCTTACCACACAAACCAGAGAACAATCAGTATTAGAATCTAGGAAAACAACCATCAGCATCACATTCACATTTCCTATTTTGATTTCATATTTATCTAAACCGCTGAGAAGCACAAAGGAGCGAAGTGTGTTTCTGTCTTCACCTTGTACTAGCTTGTTGACAGAGGGGACTTTTGCCTCCATTGCTTGAGCCCAGAGTTTGGGGGACATTCTGATATTTGCTTTGAAAATGGAAACTGATGTTTCTAACGCCCATCTCCTCCCAGCGTGAGGGAATGCGGCAGCCCTTACAGCCCAGGGAAACCCCATCCTCCATGCTGCCAGGCTACTCCCCCCACTCTCTGCCCTTCTTTCACCTAAACCTTTTACCTCCTTTGTGCAACCCATGCTGCCCTTCTCCTCAGGCACCTGGTCTGAGCCAGAGTCTAGTATAATTATATGCAACTGTTTCAAATTATTCACTTACTGATCAACCTGAAAATCTAGGTAGGAGACTATTTGGTGAGAGTTCTCTACAACAGTAATTATCACACAGCAAGAAGGTATAAGGTGCTCAATAAATAGATTCAGAACTGAACTCTGCATTTATATCATATTTCTTTTTTTAACTTTTAAATGGTTCCATTTATTTCTGAGAGAGACAGTGTGAGCAGGGGAGGGTCAGAGAGAGAGGGAGACACAGAATCCAAAACAGGTTCTAGGCTCTGAGCTAGCTGTCAGCACAGAGCCCAACACGGGGCTCGAACCCACAAACCGTGAGATCATGACCTGAGCCGAAGTTGGACACTTAGCCAACTGAGCCGCCCAGGCGCCCCTAGTTTCCTATGTTTCTAACAGCCTTATATTATTTTTAGTTTTTAAGTTTATTTATTTACTTTGGGGGTGAGGGGGGAGAACAGGTGCATGAGCAGAGGAGGGCCCGAGAGAGATGGAGACAGAGGATTCCACGTAGGCTCTCCACTGGCAGCACAGAGCCGATCTGTGAGGCTCGAAATCACAACTGTGAGATCACAACCTGAGCTGAAGTCAAAAGTAGGGTGCTCAACCCACTGAGTCCCCCAGGTGCCCCTCTACCAGCCTTTTATAAGATCCAAATACTTATGCCGTCCATTTATATCACAACTACAACTGAGAGAGAAGTTACATAAGAGGGAAAGAATTAGTTAGCTCCGTAGCATCATCACTAATCAAAGACAAAGTAAAGCAACATTGTCAGCTCATGTTACACTTCCTAAATCAGTACACTGCACGATAAACTTCCTGATGGAGGTGGGGGAAGGTACACCTGTACCCTGGGCACTAATGCCGACTGGTATGCTCCAGAAATAGTCTTGAAAGACTACTGGCCATACCTATCAACCTTTTTGGATCCTCTGAATTATTGATAAAAACTTACTCTTGGATATTTAATCTCAAAGAGACACTTGAAGAAAAGAAAAATATGTTCATCACCATGTTACATGTAACACGGACACTCTAAACATCCAGCAATATGGAAAGTGATATTGAACTGCAGTAGGGCAGTTCAAGAGCGTAGTACGGGGGCGCCTGGGGGTTGGTTAAGTGTCTGAGTCTTGATTTCGGCTCAGGTCATGATCTCATGGTTCATAGGTTCCAGGCCTGCCCCAAACTCTGTGCCAACAGCGTGAAGCCTGCTTGGGACTCTGTCTCCCTCTCTCTCTGCCCTTCCCCTGCTCTCTCTCTCAAAACAAATAAAAATAGACTTAAAAAAAAAAGTGTATTACAAAACAACCAAAATGTTTATGAACAGAAAATGTTTATGAAGCAATGTCAAGAACAAAAAAAGAATGCAGCATGAATACTAGGACTATAGTATAATCTCATTACTTTGTCCTTCAAAAATGAAGTAAATTCATCTGTTTCATGATGTAGAGCTAAGTGTTTGCTCCTCATCCATCACCCACCTGGGGGGCCCAGGGTCCAGCTCACCTGCAAGAGTGCACGACCACCACGAGCTTGTTTCTCTGCGAGCTGTGCCGGATGGTCAGCTGTATCTGCCCCAGGGGCGACTGCCCCAGTGTCGTCCCACTGGGGAAACAAAGCGGGAGGTCACAGCTTGCCTCAGAACCAAGTGGCTGGGAGTCAACACGCACAGGAAGGATTCAAATTACCCACGGGCTTGAACATAAACTGAACTTCTGACTATTAGTCAACCAGCTGAACTCGCATCTCAGATAAGGTTTCAACATAACTTCATTATTCAGAACTGACAGCTTTCTCAGTTGGGGCCCATGGTGAAAAGGAGCCTCAGAGGTGTTCTCATCACAAACATCGATTCTGTGGTCTCTGCAAAGCACCGTCTAGCCTGTAAGCACCCAAATTGACATGTGCTTTCTCAAAGCCCTGCAAGTGCTGCTTGCTCTGCTGTCTCCCGGTGGCCTCTCTCAGGAGACTGCTCTCTCAGGGTTGAAGCATTGACTCCCGAGACCGCCAACGGCTGCTTTGGTGCAATGTCCCCCAAGATCACCTCAGCTGATCCCCAAATGTAGCTCCTGAGAAAAGTGCTTTCTTAAAGTTCTACTTCCCTTCAGAGAAAGAGAGGAAGGGACTTTTTTCCAAACAGTGAAGCTGAGCCAGTACGAAGGAGAAAAGCTGAGTGTGGGCCACACACAACTGCACCCTTCCTCAACCCCCAGGAGTGTGCGTTTCATCTCTGCCTCCGCTTCCTAGCCCCCCACACACCTCTTAGAACGACAAACAGGAAGAACAGCTTCAAAGGGCCACTTTACTCCTTCCACTGACGGAAAACCTTACTGTCTGAAACTTGTGATAACTGTAAGCTGTTCTCCTCCTCTGAAGAACCCAGGAGAGCACAGCTACGAATCCAAAGACTAGACAACATGTGACTGGTGGAGGGAAGGGGAGCTGAGCCCGCAGGACTTGTTCTTCCCCCACAGACACAACCACTGCACGAAAATCGAGCATCAGCTCTAGATCCTGCCTTCCTGGTGTGAGGGCAGGCACACTGGCTCAGACCCTTTCCTATTCGCCCCTGACCCCACTGCTTCTTAATCCCTAAATGAGCCAAATATTAGGTCCTAGAAAGTGGCAAGTTTACTTTAAAAGGCAAACACTCAGTGAGCAAAAGGACAAGGACACCTTTAGTTCTTTTGGCTAACTCAAGACTGTGCTAGCACGAAGGGTGTGTGCTCTGATACGACAAGAATAAAGGAAGGGTCTGGTTACTTCTCCAGCTGCCGCAGCCTCTGCCGAAGCTCCTGGGTGGCGATGGGCAGGGAGATGTCCGAGGCTATGCTTGGAGTGGGCTCCTTAACGGAGACATGGCTGGGGGAGCAGGTGGCACTGGTCTGGAGGCTGGAGGAACTCCTGCCCAGGTCGCGTGGGCCCTGGGGGCTGGCCTCCACAGGCTGGGCTCTCTCTTCCATGCCAGACTTATGGCTGCCACCGATGACCGGTGTGCACGGGGCTGTGCTGCTCTCACCAGAGCCTGGCGATGTGGACATCTGAGACCGGACAGATATTTTTCTCCCTTCTTTGGAAACAGAGGGTCGCTTTACTTGAGCTGAGTGTTGGTGGTCTGGAGACCTTTCTGGCTTTTCAAGGTGGAGTACCTAGAATTGGAAATAAACACAAAATTAAAATCAGCGACACTAGAACGGCTTGGTACATGAAGAATATACGTCGTCAGATATATTCATTTGTAAATGTTTCCTTAAAACTTGGCAAAAAACAAACAGTTTCGTCTATATGTTCAGCTACTCTGTTATTAAAGTAATGTCATATTACAGTAAGTTTAGAAAAAGGAGGGGCACCTGGGTGGCTCAGTTGGTTGAGCACCCCAACTTCAGCTCGAGTCATCATCTCACAGTTCGTGAGTTTGAGCCCCGCATTGGGCTCTGTGCTGAGCTTGGACCCTGGAGCTGCTTCAGATTCTGTGTCTCCCTTTCTCTCTCTGTTCCTCCCTACTTGCACTCTCTTTGCTCTCAAAAATAAATAAAAACTTAAAAAATAAATAAAAAAAGACTTAGTTCTCATTTGAAAAAAAAAGAAAAGAAGAAGAAAAAGGAAAGTTTAATCAAAATTATCACTTCTGTGATGTAAAGGTCATTTCTCTTCCGCCTCTTCTGTTTGCACGCATTCCTGCACAGCTGTGGGGGTGATGTCACTTCCGGGCAAGCCTGAGCTGAATGCCCCCAAAAAAGGATGAGGGGCGAGGACACCTCCCCAGTGGGCTACTGTGCACACCCAGCATCAAGGTCGGATAGGCCCTCACGTCCTCGGCTTGTGTGAGCACGTGAACCCTTCGTTCTGCTGGCTTTTCATATCCAGTGTAAGGTGTGCAATATTCCACTGAGCGAGAGTCCACAGCCCACAAACCCTGCACCCCGGGGTTACTGCAACACTGTCAAGTTCTCTTGCTTTTAAAAACTAAAGCCCCAGCGAACATCCTCATGTCCATGGCCTCTCTGTATTCTGTCTTCTGCTGAAGGTCGCATTTCCAGAGAACGGGTTCCTGGTCCAGAGGGCTCTGTGATTTGTGGCCTGGAGACACTGCAGTCCTTTCTGCAGAAACTGCCGACCTCCGGAGTTGGAACCAAGAGCAGACACCACGAACACTGCACCTCCGCAGACTAACTCTGCTTGCGTTTTTAAAAAGTGGGGGTCTTCATTTAATTTGCGTTTTATTTTTTTCATCTTTAAAAAATGTTTATTTATTGAGAGAGCATGTGCACACATTAGTGGGGGAGAGGCAGAGAGAGACGGAGACAGAGGGTCCGGTCCAGAGAAGGCTCCGTGCTGACACAGCAAGCCCGGCAAGGGGCTGGAACCCATGAACCATGAGATCGTGACCTGAGCTGAAACCAAGTGAGTCGACTGAGCTACCCAGACACCCTTTAATTTGTGTTTTAAAAATTAGTGAGTTTTAGCATTGTCCAATCTGTTTGCCAGTTTTATTTCAAACATTTCCTTAGGCACTCACAAGAGTCACTGTCTATTTTGTACAAAAAGTTTGTTTGTAATTTCTACCATCTTGAAGAACTGTATTAAATTTTCTCTCCCCAGTGACCTTTGAGAATTTAAGCTGGCCTGCTCAAGCAATCTGGAAATACCAGCTGGAGCGGATGTCTGCATCCAAGCCTCAATTATCTCTCCCCCAAGTGCCTAAAATTGTCAGCAGTGGTTTCCTCAGACAAGTGCCTTCCTGTGGGCCCTGGGCCCATGGCTGTACCGCAGCCATCACCCACGAGTGTCCCATGCCCTTCACCACACTCTGGAGCAGCACTAGGAGTCAGCCTGTCCCCCGTCCACTCCAGTGATCGCTGCAGGAGACTCCAGTACCCTGAGGGCGATCTTCATCTTCAGAGTGCTGTTTGGACCTGAATTGCTGAGTTGAAATCGCTGGTTCATAGTCATATCATCGCTGGTAAGCAGCTGACTGAGAGGGATCTTCAGATGCCCCAGAGAACACTGATGCTGTTCATCTCTGACCTGTAGAACACATCACAGAACACACTTAGCTCTGAAGGGTAAAGACAGAAAATGTAGAGGGGCGCCTGGGTGGCTCAGTTGGTTGAGCATCTGACCTGGGCTCAGGTCATGATTTCCTGGTCCGTGGGTTTAAGCCCAGCGTTGAGCTCTGTGCTGACAGCTCGGAGCCTAGAGCCTGCTTCGGATTTTGTGTCGTTCCCCACCCCCCACCACCCCCGCCGCCCCTCCTCGCGAGCATTCTGTCTCTATCTCAAAAATGAACATTAAAAGAAGACAAAAAATTTAGAAATGTCCAAAATGCAGTCTTTTTTTTAAACTAGGCTCCATACCCAGTGTGGAGCCTAACACGGGGCTTGAACTCATGACCCTGAGATCAAGACCTGAGCTGAGATCAAGAGTTGTAAGCTTAACTGAGTGAGCCACGCAGGTGCCCCCAAAATCCAGTCTTTAAAAAACATTTCAGCCATCTCCTTCTGAGTAAGTGTTCTCATAAATGACTGACACAGTAGAAAACCTCTTAGAGACACAGAATGCAGCAGTGAGTGAGGTTCCAGTGTATCTGAGGAACATGGATCTATCATTTCTTCATCGCACAATTACAAGGAGCACAAAAAAAGCACTGTAGGGTCACCTGGGGGGCTCAGTAAGTTAAGCATCTGACTCCTGATTTTGGCTCAGGTCATGGTCTGTCTCACAGTTCATGAGTTCGAGCCCTGAGTCAATGCAGAGCTGACCTGGGATTCTCTTTTCTCTCTCTTTTCTCTCTCTCTCTGTCCCTCCCCTGCTTGCCCTCATGAGGGCGCTTACGTGCACCTGCTCTCTCTCAAAACAAATAAATAAACTAAAAAAATAAGCACTGTGTTTTATGAATCCATTAGAACCCTCAGCTAAGAGGCAGCAGTCTGCACAAATCTGGAGACTAGGAAGAAATGTCTCAAGTTCTATGAAAACAATGACAATACACATTTGTAGTGATGTATCAAGTTTCCACTGGTGAGACCTGTTTATCGAGAAAAACATTTCTAAATGTCTTTTAAGCGTTGCCTATTCAAAATCTACTTGGTTGTTTTGAAAATTGACAGTATCCACTTTATTTTTAAAAAAAAATTTTTTTTAATGTTTTTTATTTATTTCTAGGAGAGAGAGAGAGACAGCGTGAGCAGGGGAGGGTCAGAGAGAGAGGCAGTCACAGACTGAAACAGGCTCCAGGCTCTGAGCTGGCAGCCAGCCCAGAGCCCGACACGGGGCTCGAACCCACGAACCGCGAGATCATGACCTGAGCGAAAGTCGGACGCTTAACCGACTAAGCCACCCAGGCGCCCCGACAGTATCCACTTTAAATGCATGGCAATTTCTGCCCCCCCACCTCCAAATAACAACCTTCAGGATTACTTTGTAACAGGTACTATTCCTGTTAGGTTACTGTAATGCAAAATAGTTTGTAATTTTTTAATAATTTTTTTAAGGTTTACTTCTTTATTTGAGAGATAGAAAACACACGCATGCATGCATGAGCAGGCAAGGGGCAGAGAGAGAGAATCCCAGGCAGGCTCAATCTCATCATTGTGAGATCATGACCTGAGCCAGAACTGAAAGTCTAATGCTTAACCAACTAAGCCATCCAGGTGCCCCTATGATTTTTTTTTTAAAGTAGGCTCCATGCCCGATGTGGGGCTTGAATTCACAACTCTGAGATTAAGAGACACACAACTCTACTGACTCAGCTAGCCAGGCACCCAATACTCCAAAGTAGTTTAACCAAATAGAGGAAGAACTATGGAGGTTTCACAGGCTTTAAGAAAGTGGTCAAAGATGCTAACTAAACATGAACACCTAAAAGCTGGATTATTTATTTTAGACTATAATTACAAAAGCATTTTTTAAATGAAATTACTAAGACGTTTATAAAAATTGGGTTTTAAAATTAAAGATCCTGTAACTATATAGATTACTTGAAAAATAGTGCAATTTGTGAAGAAAAAAATAACAGGCGAATATAAAGTACAATAATTAGCTAAACATGTATTTTGTATAAAACAGAATGTAGAAATAAAAACTGCAGGGGCGCCTCAGGGGCTCGGTCAGTTAAGCGTGTGACTCTTGATTTCAGCTCAGGTCATGATCTCACAGTTCATGGGTTTGAGTCCCACATTGGACTCTGTGCTGACAGTATGGAGCCTGCCTGGGATTCTCTTCCTCTCTGCCCCTCTCCCACTTGCATGCACTCACTCTCTCAAAATAAATAAACTTAAAAAAAAAAAAAAAGAGAAAGAAATATAAAACAGCAAACATAATAACGGGACAGGCTGGGCATGACCGACAGTGACCCAGACTCCCTGTCAAGGAGATATGACAACCCCAAGGCAGGACATCCCCTCTCAGACCGCAGGGTCGCGGGGGCTGAGGGACAAAGTCAGAGTTGTACAAGTTAAACAGAAAATGGAGGCCCTCAAACTTCTCAAATACTGAGTGTTGGCAAGTAGGCCAGACCAAACAAAAACAAAAAGAACCCAGGAACTAAAATGGCTTAGACGGGCACATCTAGTACGCTGGCAACTGGACGGCCACACAGCTGTGCGATCCACCCAGAATGTGACAAGACTGTGAGAGGGGGGCAGAATATAGAACCATGGAGAGCAACAGGTGCACATTCAAGAAGCTCTAACTCCTCCCACATGTATCATCTATAATATATCACAGATGCTAGAGCATGTGGAGGACTTCCACCTCTGGCCATGATGGAGTAACTGGAACTGAAATGACCCTCCCACATCGGCTTAAAAACTGGACTAAACAAATGCGACGACAGGTTCTGGGCTGGACAACACAAGACACTGGGCATGCGGACGCACCATGAGCATGGAAACAATAGAGGAAAGCTGACAGCTGTTCTGGTCCTGACCTGGAGAGTGTCCAGGTCATGGTTCTGGGGCTAGGATCCCAGACAGATGCCAGTGGTTGCCCTGAGCTGAGGACACGGGGTTGATCAGGGCGCAGGAGGCTCCAGAGTGGACAGGGTCCACAGAGAGAGAGAGAGCTAGAGGCCTCTGAAGCGCCCTCATCTTCAGCCAGTCAGCACATGAGGGAGCAAACTACCTGAGGCCGGGAAAGACACCCACGGAGGAGCAGGGCGCAACTCCCAGAGCACAAAGGGCCGCAGACAGTATCCGTTCCACACAGAGAGGAGAAATCTCGTAACACTGGGGCGTCAGGCTAGTGAGGCTACATGACCCCAAGATTAAAGGCTGTCAGGCCTGCCCAAAAAAAATGTAAATCAAACCTTGAAAGGCCCAGCATTTCCAAGTTACTTACTTGCAAATGAGAACAAAGCTGCAACAAGTTTAAAGGAACACAAGACATCCAGCACTGAGTGATGTAAAATCCACAAGGAAAAGTTAGGAGGCAACCAAAGCCGCAGGAATATATGACCCACAATGAGGGAGAATCACTCGAAATGCAGACTCCAAAGTTTACAGGTAACAGAATGAGCAACAAGGCACTAAAACCTGTTATACATACACCACACACAGGAGATGGCACAGGAAAGACAAAAAGATCCAAATGTTTATTTCTAGGATGAAAAGACAATGTCTGAGATGAAAAACACACAGGACACGACGATAACAAATGAGACACTAGAGGTAGGGGAAAATCTGACCAAGCACTGACCAAAAATTTTCCAAACTTTAACAATATCAGACTTTTCATCAGAAATAAGGCAAGATGGTCCTTTAAGAAAACAAAATTGAGGGGTACCTGGGTGGCTTAGTTGGTTAAGCATCCGACTCGGTTCTTGAATTCGAGCCCCGTGTCGGGCTCTGTGCTGACAGCTCAGAGCCTGGAGCCTGTTTCCAATTCTGTGTCTCCCTCTCTCTCTGACCCTCCCCTGCTCACGCTGTCTCTCTCTCTCAGAAATATATAAAACAACAACAACAAAAAAATTGATAAACCTCTTGCCAACCTTTTCAGAGGGACAAAAAGGGACAGGATAACAATTATAGGACATTAAAAGGACATTAAAGGAATATTCTAAATAATGTTGTGTCAAGAAGCTCAATAGTTTAAGTCAAATAGATGAATTCCTTAAAAAGCATAAACATCAGGAGTGCCTGGGCAGCTTGATCAGTTAAGCATCCGACTTTGGCTCATGTCATGATCTCACAGTTCGTGAGTTCAAGCCCCACATTAGGCCCTGTGCTGGACAGCTCAGAGCCTGGAGCCTGCTTCAGTTTCTAGGTCTCCTTCCCTCTCGGCCCCTCCCCTGCTCACTCTCTGTCTCTTTCTCTCTCAAAACTAAATAAACATTAAAAAAAATTTTGGAGGGGGTGAGCACCTGGGGGCTCAGTCGGTTAGGTGTCTGACTTTGGCTCAGTCATGATCTCATGGTCCGTGGGTTTGAGCCCCACGTCGAGCTCTGTGCTGACAGCTCAGAGCCTCGAGCCTGCTTCTGATTCTTTGTCTCCCTCTCTCTCGGCTCCTCCCCTGCTTGCACTCTGTCTCTCTCTCTCTCAAAAAATAAATAAACATAAAAAGAAATTTTAAAAAAAGCATAAACATCAAAAATCATCAAGGAAAAACAGAGATAGCCTAGATAAATCTGTATCTATGAGTGGAATGTAATTTGTATTTAAACAAGCTTTCTCATGAAGGAAAGTGCAGGCCAAGATGGCTTCACTGGTGAATTCTCGAAGCACGTGAGGAGAAAACCCAATTCTACACAAACTCTTCTGGAAAAACACAAAGAAGGGAACATTCTCCAACTCTTTATGAGGATAGCATTACCCTGATAAGAAAACAAACTTAAAAGATTAGCATCCTTCATGACTAAGATATAAAAATTCATAAAAAATGTTAGCAAGTTACATTGAATACATAAAAAGGATACTACATCCTAACCAAACGGAGCTTATCCCCAAACAAAGGTTTGCAAGGTTTAACATTTGACAATCAACAATATATTTTCACCATATTTACAAACATGAACATCATCTCAATAGTTATAGAAAAGCCTTTGAGAAAATTCTACATCCATTCATGACAAAAACACTCAGCAAACTAGCAGCTGGAGTAGAAAGAAGCTTCCTAAAACAACAGACTTAATGGTGAAACCTCAAGACTTTCCCCTGGAGATCGGAAGGGTGGTGAAGAGGTCCACTCACTCCAAAGGCCAGAGGGCCCAGCAGGGCAAGAAGGCAAGAAAAGGAAGTGAAAGCACCCAAATGAGAAACACAGAAGTAGAAATGACATCATCAGCAGACAACATGACTACTAGGTAGAAGACAATCCTACAGATTCACAAAAAACTATGAGAATAACCAAATACAATAATATAATGTCCACATACAAGAATCAATTGCATTTCTATAAACTAGTAATAAGCAACCAAAAGTCAAAAGCAGAAAAAATTATGTATCAAAAAGTATGAAATACTTAGGGATAAATCTGATGAAGATGTATCAAGTATGGTGATGAGTCCACAAGCTATGCTGCTTAAATCTGGGCACCTCTTTGTATGTTGGTTATATTTCAACAAATCTAGTAAAAATTTTCAAATAAAATACCTCAACTTCAAGGTCTTGGCGCTTGGGATTGTGAATGAAGAAGGTGAAGTTTTCTTCCCATACGGGTTCATTGGTTTTGTACCGAATCTGAAAGAAACAGCCAAGTGTCAGCTCTGTGACATTCTCTGTGGAAAAGGGCTACCAAGACTGTGGTTATTCATTTATTGTGTTTGGAAGCTCAGGATGACTTTAATTAAATTCCAAGACACTTATTTACTAAGCATGTGCTATTATGTGTTAATTGTGAAAAGTGTTCAAAGATGGAGACAGTCCAAAGTATTTAGAGTGTGTCAGAGAAATTGATATGAAATCCCAACCTCTGAGCCCGTCCCAAAAACAAGACTCCATCTGCTTGGTTTGACCTTTGTCCTACTATCTTCTCAGGGACTACAAAATGATGGAAGTCAGGAAGCTTCTTAGATTGTGGACATTTTAAAGTGAACAATGGCCTATAACTGTAAATAATTCCTGAAATATTTTCTTTTAAATTAGGAAAGTGGAACACATTATAGCAACAGCAATGTCTTCTGAATTCTTACAGAGAATGGAATTTTAAGGGCTGCTGGTTATCTTTCAAACAAAATATTTATAGAGCAGTCAAAGGAAACTTAGAAATTTATAGCATGTCATTTATCCAGGAAATGGAGCAAAAACATATTATGTCATTTTTAAACATTATTTCTTTTTTGAGAGAGAGCAAGTAGGGGAGAGAGAAAGAGAGAAACTGAGCCACCCAGGCACCCCCCCTTTTTTTTTGCTATTGATATTTTTAAACACAAACATTTGTTACCCAATAAAGAAGTTGGTTACATAACTGATTTGAGGAAAAAAAAAGAGGAAGTTTTGGAAATCAACAATCTCATGCCTGCATCATCAGCAAGCTGACGGCCCTCCCACGACCACTAACAGTGACATCACAGGAAAACTGGTCAGCACCTTACCTTGCTCTCCTGGGCCCTGTGTCCAACTGACATCTGGACAAGAGGGTTTGGATTGCTGTTTATTTTCTTCCCTGACTATCCAAAAACAAACAAACAAAAAACCAGACAAAATAAGTAAATATACATCTTGAAATGGGGCTTACTAAAAATGAAATTAGTGGCTCATATTAATAGTCATTTCTATTTATTTCTGACACTTCAGTTACAGGGACTACTTGGGAACAATCTTACTGGAAAATAATCACTGAGCATGTCCCAAAGCCATAACTGGATCTACCATGAAACAAATTAAGAAAATTCCTGTTTGCAAATGATTTTTAAATGCTAAGGCCTTTTTAAAGCAAACTACTTTGGAAAAATGGAAACTTCTAAAAATTTTTAATGGTAATTCCAGTCTCAAAACTTATCTTACTAGGATAAAAAAATGCGTAAGTGCAGCAAATGGAAACAAAAGCATGAAGAAGGACAAACATCTGGAGTGTACCCTTCAGAACAGTGCCCTGGTGGGAATAATAAAAATAGTACAAAGTATCAGAGACATGTCTTCACATTTTTAACTTAGTATCTTCTGTGTGAACATGTAGCTATCAGATACCAAATCTTGCTTACCAGCTCCTAAGTAATTCTGACTGGAAGAATAAACATCAATCTAGAATTGCATTAAATTAAGCAGATACAAATATAATGAGAGAAACTGAGGAAAAAGAAAACAAATGGTAAGAAGCATACATGAGCAGACAGGTGAGAGAACACCATAGGACACAACATACATGGGACATGAGGTTTATTTCTAACTTAGCCCCACAAGATGCAGTTAAAGATCTGTGTTAGCGGGAATTAATTAAAAGGTCACAAAAATGTGTTTTTTTAGTTAAACAATTTTAGAGTCAATCCTCAACACTGCAGCAATGACAGAAATAGGTGTCAAATTCATAGGATTATCAGAATATTATTAGCCCAAACATACTGTGATAATCTATTTTCTGGTTCATCTTTTTGATGTGAATAAATTCTGCAAAATGAAATAAATACTGTTAAAAAGAAATCCAAGGTTATAGACTTCTGTGGGAGAGAATATGAACTTTTCCCCTAAATCCTTCCTTTAATACTGGAACCCTGGAGTTGTAGGTGGGAGTCCTCTGTACATGAAAATTCTATTTCCCAACTTCTCTTGCGACTGGCTGTGGCCAGGTAACAGTCTGGCCTTCAGTGAGGGGCGCCCTCCTTTTGTGGAGCCGCTTTTGGCTGGAGGTGCTGAGCTGCAGAGCCAAGGCCAGGGTTCTGTTACCCTGGAGGGAAATGAAATTGTCTTGCTTAAGCTACAGTGGCTTCTGATACAGCAATTGTTTTGATACAGAAATTGCTTCTTGGCTAAAGTAAGTTACTTCATCTCTGAAAAAGTAGCCATTTCATTCCTAAAGTTGCTGTACCTTATCAATTTTGAGACTCATTTTTTTTTTTAACTTTTGAACATCTTTTGAAAAATCTGTGGATCTGTTTCTAGGCAGATCCCAATTGTGACATAGTTGTTCTTACCTTAAACAATTTATTTTGCTTCTATTTTTCTTTTGTTGTGTGGATGACATAGTAAAAATCTGTATTTATCCTAAGCCTAAAAATTCTTATAATAGACATAAACACTATCAAACCATAACTGGACTTTTTTTTTTCTTTCTTAGTGGTACATAAAATAATGGTGTATTTTAAAATGAATGATGTTTCAGATTCTATGAAAGAAGGTTAAATCATTAAGTCTTCTACCATAAAGCAACATCAAAATGCATCAGCACAAGTCCGATATACACATATATGAAAATATGAGTTTTTATTTTATCTTTTAACATTTTATTTTTTACATTAAGTAGGCACCACACCCACCATGGGACTTGAACTCACAACCTTGAGATTGTCGCATGCTCTACTGACTAAGCCAGCCAGGCATCCCCCCAAAAAAAGAGTTTAAGTTAGACTGTCTTGAATTAAATTTCAGCGGTTTACAATGATTACTGATACCTACATATTTCATCTTTTTGAACTCTGGTTTTCATTTCTAAATAATGGACACAGTACCATTTCCAAAGCCTTGCTGTTAGGCTTAAATGAAATGGTGTGATAACAATTAAAATGCACACATTATGCTAGCTACACTGAATACTTTTTACATGCATGATCTTATTTAATTTACTCGATACTCCAAAAACGAAGATCATATCACTTCCAGTCTATAATTAACAGAGGACTGGACATCTTGCTATAGGTTATACTGAGGAGTTGGGCTAGGCTACAGTTCAAACCCAAAGAGTCTGACTTACAGCCTTCATTACAACCATTATGTCTTGCTGGTCAAGGACTCTCAAATAGCAAAGCAATGGCAAGGAAAGACTGTTGATCTAATTCCTTCCAGTGTTCTGGGAGCAGTTTTTTCAACCACTATGCTAACCTGTACTGCAAAAAGAGTAATCCACTGCTACGTCACACTTCACTGTCTCAGTATAGGTAAGGACTTAATAATAAATATTACATGGGAAGGCATACGTTGTTAGTCTTCTTCACTTTTAAGATTTAACTTGTTTTTCTAGATGAAGCTCGTTCAAAACCTTTCCTTTGGATAGAATTTTCTTAAGACCATTTACATTTAAATCCACCCCCGCCCCAATATTTAATCCTAAAATGTTCAAAGAAATCAGGAAAAAAAAACAAAACAAAACACTGTAAGTCACAGAAAACTTTTAACAATTTAGCCAGAAAATACATGTTCATGTTGTTTTAGGGAGTGGAGCTTAGTTTTCAATATACCTCATTTAATGAAATTTAAAGCTTCTCAAAAGATCTGTCACCCAAACCCAGCAGCACCAAAAGCCATGAGGTCACCGACTCAGAGACGGCCCTAACTCAGCATATTGGAAGAGGTGATTTCTAAATGGATAGTCACAGTGCACAAGGAATACCTTGAAACCATAATCTAAAGACTGGTTAAGTTTTTAAGTAGACCTTCTATTTCACCATTTTCACCAATTCAAAACCAATTAAAACGCAGAGGATTTTAAAGTACCTTAGATACTGCTGCCTGAGGCCAACAAAACAGAAGTCTAATTTATCATATTGGTACTTTATAAAATTTATCTTCAAAGCTGACTTAATTTTTTCTAACTACTAATTCTTGGGTAACAAAAAAGGATCTAACTAGACAACTAATTATTGTATTAGTATAGGAGGCAATTTGTCAATAAACCCATGTGAGTTAAAACATCATCTCTTTCAATATGTTTCAATTAATTTTTCAAAGGGAAACTATTAGTTTACCTTTAAAGCTTTCTGAACTGCAGACTTCTTCAAGACATCAGGGTTAAATTCTAATGGGTTACTCTTTCAAGTCAGAAGAAAATGAATACACCAAGGGTTAATAAAACATGCAATGAGGAGTTTATGTAAGGTTAATAATGACACAAAATTTTATGAGAACAACAAAAAAAATCTTTAAATGAAAACCACCAACAAGAATGACACAGTAAAAATCATTTGTAGCACATAAAATTCTTCTTTATGCCCAAGATTTTATCTTAGAATAAATCTTTATAAATATTAAAACACATTTCCTCTGATTACTGTGGTCTTTTATGAGTACTGTTCTTTCACTCCCACCCCTCTTCTCTTTGGGATTTGAAAAAATCCAGGAGTGACATTTTAAGAAAGGGTTCTATTTACTACCCTTAACCTGAATAAATTCATTAAGACATCAACCGTAATAACACTAAAGGTTTTATCTAACGTACAAGTGAATGGGCTGAAGATGCCCAAAATTGCTCTCAAACCAAATCATATCCTATATGAGCAGATGGTCCTTTACTGAAGGATTTCAGTAAATTTCTGAAAGTTACCTTCATGCAAAACCACAGGAAAAGTGGGCCTTTTCCACTTCACTCCCATTCTCTCCCAAGTGTCAAATGCAGAGGCTGATCACATCATTTCAAAGGTCTGTCCTAGCTTTAAAGTTCTATTATTATGGGTTTTATGTCCTAGTTTTATTGACTTTTTTCCTTCAGGTCATTACTTTTTTTTGCCTTCAAGAGGGCAGGACTGAGCTATCTGTAAGCTCTTTCAAGGACTACCATTTAAGATGAAAGATTTTATCATTTCAATTGTAATTAATTTCAAATGACAAACTGCTTTTTATTATGTTTTTATTAAACAGCAGATCTCATGGTGAAGAAAGATGGACAGTCGGCTTGGCTTCTCAGCCTCCCATGGCCCTGGCAGGCTGGGCCAGATGAGAAGATCTAACATCTGACCAAAAGGAACTAATGTGACCTAAATGTTACCTCCACTGAGGCGGTCTGTGGAGCTCTAAAAACACTGGACCCACCAGATCGGCCTCTGGCGAGAGCTTGGCCAGGTGAGGCTGGGAACCAGCGCCCTGAGGTGTGAGGACTGACAATCCTCAGGTGCCATGAGAACCTTTGCTGAAGCTCACTTTGGGCAGATGTGATGCACGTATCATTCTAACACTCATCAACGAAAGCAAGATGAGCAGAGAGGCCGTGGTGTGGGTTGCAGTGCTGGAGAAGCGCTGTGACATCGCGGTGGGCTGCACAGGCCTGAAGGAGAGACAAGCCGGATCACACGGGCGTGCTAGGAGGGGCCCAGCCTCGGCTCCGGATGTTACTGCACCTCCCAGCCTTGGGCTGCTCACCATAACGGGAAGCAGTAATAACCTGTACTGTAGCCACCTGTACTTTTCAAAGATTTTTAGTTTTAAGTGATATCTACACCCAATGTGTGACTCGAACTGACAACTGTGAGATCAAGACTCGCATACTCCACTGACTGAGCCAGCTGGATGCACACCCCCTTTGTGTTTTTCAAGATTTTAAAGTAATGCCACATGTACTTTTTAAAAGTGAGATGGCGGGGCGCCTGGGTGGCTTAGTCGGTTAGGCGTCCGACTTTCGTTTGGGTCATGATCTCGCGGTTTGTGGGTTCGAGCCCCGCGTCGGGCTCTGTGCTGACTGCCAGCTCAGAGCCTGGAGCCTGTTTTAGTCTGTGACACCCTCTCTCTCTGACCCTCCCCTGCTCACGCTGTCTCTCTCTCTCTCTCTCCTAGAAATAAATAAAAATATTAAAAAAAAAAAGTGAGATGGCACCTCACATCATCACACCCCATGATCTTCCTACTGTACAGCCAGCATTTTATGTATACCAAGTAAGCGACAGTGTCACACTCATCTCAGATAAACTCCACGGACAGCTCCATGAACTTACAAACCCAAAGTATAACAAACTCACTTTACACTGGCAGGGGGTAGACAGGAGGGGTCACATGGCAGAGTCCCAAGTCCAGCTCTGGTACCGACTGCTGTGGTTCTGGGTCTCAAACCTCCATCCCTCACACTCTCTGTGCTGTCTCAGCTTCCTTATCTGAAAAGTGACTGTGATGGGGAGACTAAACAAGGCAGAAAGGACGAGCCCTTGGAAGGTGCTCAGAAATGTGTTACTGCATAAGTCCCAGGTTCCCAGATTAGAAAGCTGGCCACTGGGAGCCAGGGAACACTCTTGGTGCTCCAGCGTCAGATTCAGTCCCACATCTGATCAAAACAGGAAGGCCAAGTCTGACGGTCTATATTGTTAAGAGACTGTTTGCATACAGGAGAAAGTCCTGTAGTGCCGAGGGTTCACAGATGGCGGTAATGCAGGCATGGGGTTGGAAATTAAGTATCCCGAGTAGTAAAAGGTAAGAGGCCAATGGGGCTGGCCTTTATCAGAAATACCGACAGTCTCAGTCTTTGGGGGAAAATTGAGAAAGCAATGATTTAACTTTACTCTGAGATCTAATGGGTTTAGAAAAGAAAAAAGGCAATCAAATCTGTTCAAATTTATCTCATAAAACACTGTGCTGGTGCCTGTGACTGAATCACAAAGCAGTACTAGTACATGGTTTTGATAATGTAGGAGGAAAGCTGGTTTTGATAAGCCAGCAATGTCTTAGCTAAATATTACAAGGCAATTAAAAAGTCCTGACACAAGGTCAGAAATATTTCCTTTAAAGAAAGCAATTACAGAATGAGAAAAAAACTTAGAAAAACTCCTGAGCAGCCTAACAGTTTATGCAGGAGAGCCACACTGTTGTCCACAGCAGCTTACACTACAACCTTCACTAAGAAGCACCCAAAATATAAAGTCATTTCATTAGTAAGTGATAGAGAATGGTTGCCAACACGCACCAGTGATGTCATTTTGACTCTGAAAATACCTTAATCAGGAACAAGCAAGGGAGTGAGGAGACCATGGTTACCATTTCCTACCCATGTGACTCTCAACAGCTCACCTAACCCATCAGGGTCTTGATTTCCCTCATGGATAAAATGGGACAAAATACCTATTCTTTTAACTTTTGCCCCACCCTTCTTTTTAAAATAAGAATACACTAAAAATGCACGTGGAAACAAATGAAATGTCTTCAAAAACACAAAGCATTACCACTATTAGACTCAGGGGCTCAAGCACTTTAAGAATTTCACTCATTTAATTAAGTTACTGAATTAAATCTGTCTAGAAAGAATAACTAGACTAATGACTAAACCACTGGTGACTTTCTCTGACCCTAAATCAAGTAAAAATGACTGTGCTACAAGCACCAAGAACAGTAGCAGGAATCTGGGCCCCAGAGCAAGACCCTGCGAAATAGACATAATAAGAATAAAGTCAGCTTCCCAAGTAAGTGAGTTAGAAATGCCCAGTTATCCTCTCCTGGATATTCAAGTTCCTTAAAAGAAACTGAACCATAAACTCAATATATTTTTTTCTCCTGTAGGAGCTCTGTTAAAAAGTGAGGAAGAAGGCACGTTTCCAGGGAAGCAGGTGGACTTCCGTCCTCACTGGCTATCCTGGCACAGCTGGCACTTCAAGGCACGCCAAGTTCTGATACTTCTGTGTTTCATCAGGAGGGAAAAGTAGATCTAAGGAAATTTTCTGAAAGCTTTTGAATAAATACTTACATCTCACATTGAGATGAACCCTAAGAAAATCAGTTTTTCTGGTTTCATTTTTTCCTCAGAAGAATTTTTATCTTTTTTTTTTTATGGGCCTGTAGCAGCTTAGGAACGTAAAGCTTCTTCACGACTCACCAGATTTGTTCATCTCATCATCAGATGTAGTCACCAAAGCTGGTTACAGCAGTGTTACTTTTTTACAGAACAAGCACAAAAGAAACACACACACAGTAACTGAAATCATGCAAGAAAATTAAAAAAAAGCATGCTACATCATTCCACCATTGAGTAGATGGCATTAGAAGTTCCAGCCCACATTCTAGCAGTCTCCATTAAAACAAAAGAAAGAAAGAACACTGGAGAACTCACAAATAGTGCTCTATAGACTGAGGTAGTATTTTCACAAAACACTAGTCCCGACGCTCGCCTCTCTTTTAAGTAGCCACACCCAAAGTTTCCCTCGTAGATACTCTTAGGAAAGTGGAAACAGGAGGAGAAAGCAAAGAATGGTGGATTGTGGTCAATGAATGCACAAGAAGCACTAATAAATAGGAGTGCAAAAGGCAGAGTCAAAGCATCCCACAGAAACGCAGGAGAACCGGATGGCAAACGCTCCCGTTTAAAATAAACACCCAACAGGGCAGCGGTTTTGCGAAGATCCTTTGCCTCTGACAGCCAGAGCATACTTCATGCACAAAGTGTCATTTTAATAAAAGGTTAATAAATTCATTTTTGCTTTTGATTTGCTTACGTGATGTTACTCAAATTTCAATTTAATGTGATAAAATACACAGTTCAAAAGTAATTGGCCTAATTCTTGTCAATTTACTTAATACTATTCTTTGTATACTAAAATATATAACAAATTCACTTCCATCAGGCATTTATATAAAAGACTGTAAAACAAACATTACTGTGATTAAAAACAAAAATGTTCTACTGTATGAGAAATTCTGCAGGAAGGTTAAACAATAACAAAACAACTATCCCCAAATTGAAATTATCATAGAAAAAGTCAGAGTTCTAATTGGAGGACTGGCCAAAAGATTAAGGTAACATTTTAAGAAAAATTAAGAATATATGAAGTTAAAATCAGTCAAGAAACCTTCACTGAAAGAGTACAATTGTATATAATTACAGTGTTCAACTACATCTTCCCACTATAAAAAACAAATCAATCACATTTTGTTAAAAACTTTAATTAAAACATTGAGATGCACAAAGTCCATTTACTTTGCTTTTGAGCCAAGTGCAAGTAAAGTGCAATTTTAAAAGCGTGAAAGGCACTGAAGGAGGAGGGTGTGTACTTCCTGGGCTGAAGGAAACAGTCTCCTGCAGTGAGGTGAGAGGACGTCTGACATGAGACACTTGGATGCAAACTGTGAAGGGGAGTAAACACTGTTTTCTTGTCTGTATCCACCACGTGGATGCCAACAAGCAGAGGACACGGGGAGACCACATGCAGATGGGCTGGGACGGAGGAGCATTTGTGTCAGGCTTAGCAGGAAAACAGCCTGCAAATTTCACAGAACTGGTCTGGTCTTTAACACAGTGAAAGAAAGCAAGAATGACCATCTACTGAATATGGGAACTGGCACTCAAAAAAAGTGATCAAAACAATGTAACATTTATATAATGATCACATTGCCCTAAAGAGTGGGTTTAAAGTACGGCGGTGGAGGATCGCACAAGACTGCTCATGAATGGAACAGCGGGATTTTCCTTCCCCACAGCTGTGGTCATTACCTACAAAAGCTATACTGCACAGTATTTTCTAAGTGCAAACAGTTCTGGTGCAAACGAGCAGGGGGGCCCGCTCCGGGCCGCAGGCGCCAAGTGGCACAGGGCACCAGGCGCTCCAGCCAGCACCCTGTCCTACCACGCTGCCCACCACCCTCTGCGCGGCAGCCAGAGTGGACTCTGGGGCTGCAGGCAGAGCTGCTTTGTCTTATTCCCAGGCCAAACAAGACAATTTCCCTCTCAAGGTATCTCTATTTTTATAATTAGTGATTGTCTACAGAATATCTTCTTCCCTAACTACCAGGCACATTCTTTTCTGATGGAATGTTCATAAAACATGTCAGAGTAAAAACAACTCTGAACATTCTGGATAAACCAGTAAGATGTAGAAACATAAATTATACTCATGAAGCAAATACACACTGATCCCTCCCTTCTGCCGTTCTCCTGGGTGGGAGTGAAGAGAAAACACTGGAACAGTAATGGTGACACGGTGTGGGTGGACACAGCCAAGATCTGCTGCCAGAAAATGGGCACCCAACGGAGTTCTCATGGCATTACCTACCGGAAGGTTCCTTGCTGAATCCAAATACAAGATCAGCAATGAAGAGGAAAGACCATCATTGGCTTGGTCTTTGTCAGCCCTGATGTCTGTCAGCACCTATGAGGAAAGGGCAAAAAGCTTCAGCCGGTGTATTTCCACAAAATTTTAGACTATTTCTACCTGATCATGTCTGTAATGCTCAAGAAAATAAGAAAGATGGTGAAATAAACCATCCAATACATGCAACACAGAGAGAATGAAAACACTAAATATATTTTAATGACAAGAATCTACACAAATCAATTAAATAAAGCACAGGTGACCTGTGGCTCTCCAAACCCCCATACTATATCGAGCACAAAATATGAAGATCTTGTAAAGCAGGTGGGAAGGACCTGTAATTCTTTTAAAACATTTTAGTGTCTTTAAATTACCCTGATGCAACTGCTGTGACTTAGAGCACAATAATAAAAATCATTGCTGTAAGTTTTTTTTTTAAGCCAAGTAGCAGCACAATCTAACGATTCTAATCTCAGCTCTCCGGGTGGTTGGTTGTCAGGGGAAACACTTCATCACGGCACCTTATCAAGGTTTGAGGCATTTGGCATCAACGTGAGCCACTCCAGTTTCAAGTGCAGCTTTCCTCTGGGGACCTCGTCCAGGGTGAACCACTGAAGAGAGAATGTGAACGTTCACAACAGCTCTCCTGAGTCAAACTTTCCAGTCAAGCAGTTTTCACAATGTTCAGATCCACTCCCTGTGAGGCACCAACCATTCCTAATTACTGCTGAAGGACCGAGTCCTGCCCAATTTCAAATGAGCTGACGACCCCAGAGAGCAGCTGCTGGAACTTGCCCAGCACTGTCTGCTGGCCAGGGACCGTGCTGAAGGCTTCACTTACATTAACTCACTGAAGCCCAACAAAGCCACGGTGGAGGAAACAGTTTTCATCCCTAGTTGACACACAGGGATTCCAATGTGTTCCAGTCCTGTGCAGTACCACAAGGCTTTTATGTATGGACTTGAATAGAATTTATGGGCCAGTAGATAATACAACATAGATACCAAATGCTGAATTTCAATATCAAAGAAACTCATATTTGTTTTTATTGGCCACTGTATACTACTTGATAAAATAGTATTCAGTTGTTTCAGCTTAAAAACCACAAAGCAATTAATCAAAGATAGTCCCCAAATACTCAGTGTTAAGAGGCTGCCATGAGTGCACAGGAAGGAAAATGTGTTACTTTGAAACAGTGGATCTCAACATTTATTTGGTTAATTATGTCTTACTTGTCCCAACCGCACCCACCTTTTAGAAGCCATCTCAAAATTTTCCTTGTTTTTAATACATTTTCTTCTGATGGCCAACGTCCTGCTTGAAGCAGTGTCTGTGGATTCCCACTGCGTTTGTAGGCCGCTCTCATGTGACATTTCTCCTAAGCTGCAGGTGCTTACTGTTCTCTCCAGCGACTGAAAAGCCCACTTTTAGGGCGCTTCTCACAGGCCTCTGCCCTGACTCCCAGGGTACCGTGCTTTACTCTTATGAATTTCTAACATACCCCAGCCTCTCAATACACACCATCTGACTGGGCTGTTAAACGTACTTCTTTTCACTTTGCTAATATTGTAAGGCTTAAGTTCTCAGTGTTTGTGAGGTGAACATTCGGTTCTCAGAACACAGTGTGGATGGGCAGCAGGACTGTCAATGGTCGTGAAAAGGAACAATAGCTCAAAAGAAAACTTACTTCATCTAAAAGGCGCTCCTTTTCAACTTCAATAAGATCAATCATCAGACTATAGAAATAATAACACAACAGCTTCAGAATATAGGAACACACTTCTTGTAACTGAAATAAACATTTGTCTATGAGAAAGTACACAGGACATGCATCAAAATGCTAGAGTTTATTAATAAAGAGACTTGTTTCATAAGCTTCCTCAGGTTTCTCTCAAAACTATGAAGGAAGTAAGGAAATAAGCAGGGGCGAGTCTCTGGGAGGTCAGGACCCTCGGTTTGGCAAAGCCAGGATTATAGTTGTAAAAAATGTGGTCTTCCTATAAAGTAGCCATTTACATAATATGTAAACGCCAAAAAGGTTAGAAAACACTCAGCCTTCCTGTCCCACGTGCTCTCCTTTGGCGCCGCCATCCATCACTCCAGCCTGCCCGTCCTTGCTCTGCAGCTCCGGACCCTCGAGCATCTAGAGCTCCAGAGGCCTCTGGCTCCGCTGTCTCAGAGAGCGCCTTCTTCCCCTGCACACCCTGCTCTACGGCGAAGCGTGGAACTCCGCCCAGAAGCTAGAGATGATGAGGGTGGGCTAAGTCCACTCCTGTTTTTGCTCGTAGCTGCCCCTCTTCCTGTCTCTGCACCAGGTCAGACCCTCACAGCCCTTTCCTGGTCTATCACGGTAGTCCCCAGTCTCGGTCCCTTGTACTCTTAAGCCACACAGTGGTTTTACTAAAATGCAAATTTGATGTGTTTACTGCCCTGCTTACAATAATTCAGTTGCTCCTTGTTAAACCATCTCATGAATGAATTCTGAAGTCAGCATAATACACAGGCCATTCTTGATGAGGCCAAACCTATCCAATGTCATCTATACCTGTCTCTTTTTGGCCACAAGAAATTCAGCTAAATAATGAAGATCAGGCTTAGATTTATTTTTTTAAAGCTCATTTCTTCAGCTGTACTGGTTGTTCAATTTAAGTAAACAAATCAATTATTTTTCCAATGTGTAGACACAATGTAAATTATTATCCCCACTGCTCCCTAAATAACTCCACAAATTGAAAAAAATTTAAAAACCTATTTCTACATCCTAGAGCGGAGCTGCCCACATGGTGTGAAAGCCAGGGAGCTGCACTGGCATTCGGGCCGCACTCCACATGTGGCTTATGAGCCCTTACATGGGGGCAAGTACAACCACCAAACTGAATTTCAAATTTTGTTTAGTTTTAATCGGTTAATTTAACTAATTTAGCTATACATGGTTAGTGGCTGCTGTGATGGTCACAGATCTAGAATTTTCCTTTTTATACTTAAATGTGAAACGTTTTAGGAATAAAACGTACTTTGAGAAGTCTAAAGTGAAACAAATATTACACCTAAGAGCCATTTAAAAATACATGTAACATATACATACACCTATTTTTCAAAGCTGCATTAGTTTTAAGTGTGACTACTGGGGAGAAAGAGTGTTCTCCTCGCCTCAGGGTTTACCTTCCTAAGAAGTCATCCTTGTCTGGGTCTTCATCAAACAGCTCAATCTCTAGTTCCTGTCCAGGATGTTCGTAGACTAAAGCCTGAAAAAATAATGATGAGTAGTTATCTTACATTTTTACTAATGCTGGCATCTACCTGACCATGATGATTATAGTAAAGAGCACCGTACTATTTTTCTTATTAAGTAGTTATAAGCACTGACGTTTTCTCATTGGCAAACCACATGCGCCACTCCATGGGAGATCATTTTGGACACCTGCCCACACTGCAGCATGGAGACGAGTCTAGGTGTCTCCAGTTTCCTGGGACTAGTCTCATCTACTCAAATTCCACCGCTCAGGAATGAGGTCACAAGGCAGCACCCGCAGACAGAGACAGGCATGGACACCTCTCTAGTTCTGATGCGCTTGTGTTCAAGTGCTGCTGTTGGGGTAACCACTAGTGACCCATGCACCACCATGTAGACATTAAGCAATCTGGCACCAGCCTGGATTGGGAGGATGGGAAGCTGGTGAAGTATAAACTACACAACTGTTCTGAAAAACAATTTTGCAAAACTGTGTCATTCCTTTAAAAAATCATAGTTTATGATACAGCAATGCCACTCTAATGAGCTTATTTGGAGAAAACTTGGTCAAGTGAAGAAAAACACATTTATATTACATTGTTTCAACAGTGGTTCTAAGGCTGAAATGAATAGTCAAGATATCTTCGGGTAAAGAAATGAATGGCAATTGTAAATCAGATCTATCTATTTTAATTAACATGTAGAGATGTCCAGATGTATTAAATGAGAACTTACAAAACAGCACATAATTAATCTCATTCATATTTGTATGTTTACATATGTTAACAACCACATAAGTATTTTTCCCATGAAAAATATTCTGCCAATTATGTACTGGGATGGTTTAATGTAACTAAGGTTTAAAATGTATATTGTTTATGTGATGGCATAACAACAATATTGTGAGGTAGGGCCAGAAGGTGCAATACCTTTTAATGATGGGAAATTAAAGCAAAAATGATTTAAATCACCCTCTAAACCAACTGCACTCCTGTGTTAACAGGAGCAGAATCAGGATTTGGAGAAGCCAAGTGACACCACTGGACACATCTTACCTCATATACCTCATTCCACTTTGGACTGAGGTTTTCTTTGATGACCTTGCTTTGGAAGATCTGGTTGCCAACTCGAATAATTCCATAGGGGTCTGACTTTCCCTTGACGAGTCCCTTAAGATAAGTATCTTTCCCCTGAAGATCCTGAGCTTCAATAAAATGTATCCTTAGAACACCCTGAAAAGAAGGAGAACGCGTGGACTGTTCACTGGTTCATGTGACAGACAGGGAAGGAGGGTCGTGTACTCACTGTCCTAACACAGGGAGGAGATGAAACAAAACAAAGACCCCCTCATTGTGCAGCAGAGAAGAAAGTAAACATGGGATATGCAGGTGGCAGTGCTGAGGGAAAACTAAAGCCGTGCAGGATAACAGCATCGGAGTGGTACTATTTTTAGTCAGGAGGCCAGACCAGGGAGGAGAATGAGGTGTGAGTTGGTGGCCCCCGAGTGACACTGTGCTCCAGGAGCCTAAGGAGCCCGAGTTACAGAGCCTTACAGGTCCCCAACACAGCCCTGTGTGTTGGTACTACAGCAGCAGATAGTTAGCATTATGGGAGGTCTCAGATGTGCTGCTAAGCCCTCGATCTGCACTGACTACTTCCCTGTTTAGAACAATCCTATGAAATACAGTTGGCCTTGGAACAACACAGGTTTGAACTGTGCAGATCCACTTACACGTGGATTTTTTTTTTTTTTTTGAGAGAGAGAGAGGGTGCAAGTGAACAGGGGGGAGAGAGAGAGAGGGAGGGAGGGAGGGAGAGAAGGGAGCGGGGAGAGAGAGAAGAGGGGATCGAGCTCACCCAAAGCAGGGCTCAAACTCACAAACTGTGAGATCAGGATCTGAGCCAAAGTCAGATGCTTAACCAGCTGAGCCACAAGCGCCCAGGACTTTTTTCACTCAACACAGCAAAATATTATAAATGTACTTTCTTTTTCTTATAATTTTCTTAATAACATTTTCTTTTTTCTAGCTTCCTTTATTGTAAGAAAATGGAATAAAATACATAGAACATATAAAATATGTTTGCTCATGCACAGGGGCCAGTGCCCCAACCCATGCTGTTCAAGGGTCAGCTGTATGTCATTAAGTTTAGTTTATAGATAAGAAACTGAAACTTTGAAATGCATATTTACTCACAGACTTTAAACATAGTTCTTTTCCTAAAATGTTGTTTAATTGGTAAAATATTCATTCACACTTTACTCAAGGCAAACAACTGTGGAAAGTTAACTAGGACAGCATTCTCTTTTAAACAACCTTTTCTTTTTTATACATTTCTTAAATGTTTATTTTTAAGAGAAAGAGAGAGAGCGAGCAAGCCTGAGCAGGAGGACAGAGGCAGGGAGACACAGAATCTAAAGCAGCTCCAGGCTCTAAGCTGTCAGCCCAGAGCCTGATGCGACACTTGAACTCACAAACCAAGATCACGACCTGAGCTGAAGTCGGACACTTAACTGACTGAGCCACCCGGGTGCCCCTTAAACAAACTTTTTAAATCACTGGTAAAATTCCTGACCCAATCAGCAAGGAAGACATGTGTTTTTACAGATAAATACACTTTCAAAAACTTAAAGAGAATTTTGTTTTGATTTTCATGTGTGTAAAGTTTAGATAATCTGGCAATATATCTAAGTAGTGCTGGCTTTTAAACCCCACAAGGTTAAGGGAGGCTGGATCTGGGCAGGCTTCAGTGCTCACTGCACTCACAGAATAAAAAGTGTAAGTGGCAAAGGAGCATGACAATTTCTACATGGAAATTTCTACATGTGTGTTCAGAGATGAAAATCGTAAATTAAGGAAAAAAAGACATTTTTTCCCTCATATGTACTGTTCCATTCAACCTGAATAACAATGTTATAACTAACTTGGGCATCAATTAGCTGGGGTGTTGGTACTTTTAAAAAATATAAGAAAGCTCACAGGTGTTTGAGGATTTGTGCACGTTACAGAGGTCTAACTTAACTACAAAAAAGTAACAAACATCAGGGGGAATCCACTTCGGGAAGCACACTAAAAATACCTTCACTAAAAGAGGACCAACTCCACACCTTCTGGTTAGTAAAATCAACTTGGGGCACCCGGGCGGCTCAGTCAGTTAGGTGTCCGACTTTGGCTCAGGTCACAATCTCACAGTTCGGGACTCGAGCCCCGCATCTGGCTCTGCACCGAGAGCTCGGAGCCTGGAGCCTGCTTCAGAGTCTGTGTCTCCCTCTCTCTGTCCCTCCCGTGCTCATTCTGGGTCTCTCTCTCCCTCTCTCAAAAATAAGTAAACATAAAAAAAAAAAAATCAACTGTCCTGTGTGTGTCAGTATCACACTCATTATGGACACTGCACAACAGGGCTGCCTGTGCTGCCTCACTTCTGGAGTGCACAGACAGACTACATGGACAGGGTGAAGGACCAAGTAAGAAAAACTCTGACTATAATTAAAGGAAACCTCCTTCAGAATGGGGTCGGGAGGCCAGCACTGGGAAGGGGGGGCTCTCAGGCACCACCACTCCACTGTCCACTGCAGGCCCGACGGGAGGAGATGCACCTCCCAGGTGACACTATTTTACTCTCCCAGCAGGAGGAAGGAAGGTTTCCCCTCCCCTAGCCACAGCTCAGCCCATGAGCAGCCACCACACTTCCGGCTCCCAGCTTACCCCAGTGGACTTTAGTTTACAGCAGCCCCTCCCAGCTCCCCCTTCCCTCTATGAAGGAGCCTCCTCTCCTTTGTTCTGCAGAATCACCTGTGGTTTTGCCATAGCTTAACTGTCCCAGACTGTAATTCTCTGCCATTCCTGAAAAAAAACCATTTTTGCTGGTAAAATAACTGGAGGTTTTATTTTAAGATTAATAGCTCTCACTAACCTGTGGGGGCCAATCTATTCCAAGCACCTGTCTGACCATTAGAGGGAAGTTCTCAGTCTTGGGATGAGGTTAGTCTACTCAATTGAAAGTGACTACAATATCTGTGACCTAACTCTGTGCTAGGCGTCACCTCCAATTTACAGATGAAGAAACTGAGGTTCACACATGCCAAGTAACACGTCCCAAGAGCAAAGCTGTTATTAAGCTGACGGGCTGTGCTCCAAGACCCATCTCTGCCCTTTCCATCTCATCCTGGGCAGTGGTAACACCAGCACTGCTTCTACCATGTTACTTATTATTATTTTTTAAAAATATTTTTATTTATTTCTAGGAGAGAGAGACAGTGTGAGCAGGGGAGGGTCAGAGAGAGAGGGAGATACAAACTCTGAAATAGGTTCCAGGCTCTGAGCTGGCAGTCAGCACAGAGCCCGATGCGGGGGCTCGAACTCACGAACTGCAAGATCATGACCTAAGCAAAGTCGGATGCTTAACCAACTGAGCCACCCAGGCGGCCCTCTACCATATTACTTATTAAATGACTCCAGAGATAACCATAATCTCACCTCTGAGAGAAAAGATGTACCAGTCATTATACAAAGTTCCCATCGCACAGACTAAGTGGTTACATTGTGTTAATACAAATCATACATGCTTTCTGAGATGATAACTAAGTTGTCACAGCTGTCCTTTAGGACTTGCAGAGTAACATTTGAAGGATTAAATCCCACAAGCACCTTGGATGTTCATGGCAGAGGTTTAAGAATTGCCCTGAAGTTTCTGTGATGTACATTAGCCAATCTCTTAAGGAGTTGACTGGGCAAACTAACCCATCAAGATCCACGTGGCCAGGTCACTGCTAAGAGAACCACCAGAGTTACAACACCCAAGTATGTGATAAGCTCCCCCCGTATCTAGGTCTAAGCGCTAACGGATGCTCAGGCATACTTACCTTTGGTATAGGAAACCTCAACTGTGCTATTTGAACTTCACTGACAAGAGGAACGGTGATCCGATTGGGAAGCACCAGATAGTTTGATATTATATCCAGAATGATGGTATCCGACAGACCACTATTAGGAGAGCAGTTAAAAAAAACAAACCCATCAGGCACATCAACAGTAGTTCTTGCCTTTAATAGCAAACTTAACCACAAACATGATATAACATCCCATTTACAGGGTCGGAGCGGTCTAATTTCTCCAAAACAGTACTTAAAACAAGCAGTTTAAGGCTGAGGTTATGATATGGTTTTGGTGACAATTACACGGGATATATATGTATATGTACACACACAACCACACACATGTGTGCGCATATGGCTGACATATATAGTTGAGATATACAGCTGAAAACACAAGGTAATATATTCTGGCTACATTTCATAATATTCTAAATGTTTCATACATTTCTATGTATTTTTTTGTTGTTGAGCTAATACTAAGATATAGTAAATATTTTTTAGCATAAAATATTTCAAACATCCACAAAAGTGCAGAGAATACCATGACAAACATCCATCTACTCCTTCCATGTCTCGAATATTAAATTTCTCTCTCGTTATAGGTAATAATTCCCAATGAAGTAAAATAATTTACAGTTTATTCTCTTTATACTGTATTTGGGTACTAAATTACTGTAATAATTTTTAATTAACTACTGCACAGAGAACTCAGTAATACGAATAAAATTGTGGAGGATAAAGAAACAAATGTACTTTTGATATATTTTTGCCTATTCTTTGGGATCAATGTGAAAATTAAGTAGTAGGTATGTGACAACATTTTTGAAAAGGTATGTAATTGAAGTTTCACTGCTATGGAAGAACACCTTTTTTTTTTTTTATTTCTAGGAGAGAGAGAGAGAGAGAGAGAGAGAGAGACAGCACAAGCAGGGGAGGGTCAGAGAGAGAGGGAGATACAGACTCTGAAATAGGCTCCAGGCTCTGAGCTGGCAGTCAGTACAGAGTCCGACGCGGGGCTCGAACCCACGAACCGCGAGATCATGACCTAAGCGAAAGTCGGACGCTTAACCAACTAAGCCACCCAAGCACCCCTATGGAAGAACACCTTTAACCAAAACTGAAAAGCTTTGTAGAGAATTTTACTTCTTGCCAGGACTTTTCAGATGTTACAATTATTAAATGTGTAAAGTAACTGTACATATAAAAATAACCACTGGGACAGAGTGAAAGTCACCACCGTTCAGGGAGTAATAATAACTGAACGTTCACTACAAGCTGGTTATTCAAATACAATGACAAGACACAACGGCTTACCTTAGGACTTTTCAGTTCATGATGGAAAAAGGACTGAGAACCCACAGCCCCACAAACAACACGGACAACCCTATTTATGTAAAGGTCAGTTAATTATACGTTAACACTTAAAAGAGACAGAGGGTTTCAGGCGGCAGACACTGGATATGTGTGCACTAGGCAGTGGTGTGAGGTGGCCTTAATTCCGCAGCACTTCTGACTTCAGGCACTCCCCCCGCCCCCCAATACTGCTTTTGTTTCTACTGAAAAAATCTGCTGAAACAGAAAACCCTTTGATCAAGATTTGCTTTCAAGAATCCTTTAGCCACTATGGTGGCAGGCCCACCGCCTCTCCGACAGCCTAGCTGAGCACACTCAGGCCCTGCACCCAGGAAAGCAGCAGCAGGCCAGCCTCACCCCTGTGCACACTCCCAGGCTCCTGCAGAATTTCCAGAGCTGCTGCTCCCACTGCCTCTCTGCTTGTCCTGGCTGCTGTCATGGTCTCGTCACACTGCAACGGCTTCCTATCGTGTCCAGTCCTCTTTGTCCTTCGGAACTGCCGGCTCCTCACCTTACTTTTGTTTCTATCCTAATTCTCGTCCCTTATAGTCTTTAGCACTCAGTTTAGGGCTCTTTGTTGAAACCCGGGGGTATAGTAAAAATTTCAAATAAAAATTTCAAATATCAATTCAAATATTATTGTTATTTTATGATACCTTTCGTTTTTATAATCAATGAATATAGAATGTAGATGTTCATTTTATAATGCTCAAGGCAAGATTTCGTTATGTTAGGTTCAAAGTTACTATTTACTTTTATAACATAAGACTTATCATAACTGTGATTTGATAGAATGTTTGAGAAAGCACAGCTCAAATTTTGTTAAGTATATACTTTATTACATAAAATTTATATAAACACAAAATGTTATATATTTGCATACGAGTGGGAGAGGGGCAGAGAGAGAGGTAGACACAGAACCTGAAACAGGCTCCAGGCTCTGAGCGGTCAACACAGAGCCCAACACATGGCTAGAAGTCACAAACTGTGACATCATGACCTGAGCTGAAGTCGGACGCTTAACCGACTGAGCTACCAGGTGCCCCTAATTTTTTTTCAGTAGCCTCTATACCCAACATGGGGCTTGAACTCACAACCCCAAGATCAAGAATCACATGCTCTACTGACTGAAACAGCCAGGTGCGCCTGTATCTCTCTTTTAAGTAATGATCAGACACTGGCTTCCCCCAGCTGCAAGCTTGCCAAGGCAAAATATGCCCTCTGGCTCACCCTGTAAGGGAGCTAATACAATGCTATTTACAGCGTAGCTGCTTTGGACTAGCCAGTGTTTATTTCAGTCCTCCCATGATACACAGAGGAAACACTTTCCACACTAAATGGCAACAGTGATTCTTTTGTTTTGCTGGCTGAGCAGCATCCGTCCCCACGGATGAAAGGTCTGCTGCAAATTCTTCCTCTGCTTCTCCCTACCCCTCACCCTGGTCCCCCCTTCCTCCTTTGGGAGTAGGCATGAGGCTTGATCATCAGAATCACACGGTGTGTCCAAGGGCGGGTGGGCAAACAGAAGTCAGCCCTGGAACTCATGCTGGAACCAGCAGAAGGTTCTTTTTAGGCTGAAGTTGCTAAGCACAAAGGACACAAACCAGAAGCTGTGATTTCACAGCAAGAGCCTACCTGACAACAAGCCCACACAGAGACGAGTAGAATTACGAGCTGGACAGAGGGCGCTTAGGGCATCATTGGACCCCAACACCTGCCGGACTTCATTCCAACAATGCTCCAGACTGCTCACTGACAGGAGCCGCGAACAAGCCACTGGAAGTGGAGCTCCGTGACAGGAGTGTGGCTGTTCTGTTCACAGCTACACTCCAGCACTAACAACAGTGTCCGGCTCATAGCAGGCATCCAATACTTACTGGCTGGATACATGAACAAGCTGTCTTAAAAAACAGTATTTATTTATCATTTACTTTGTTTTTTAAAGTTTATGTATTTAAGCAATCTCTACACCCAAAGTGGGGTTCAAACTCATGACCCTGAGATCAAGAGTCACATATTTCTCTGACTGAGCCAGCCCAGGCACCCCCTACTCATTAATTTGCTTTTTTATTTAAAAATAAAAGTTGGGTGTTCTGCTTCCAAAGAGAATCTTAATGAATACTCAAGAACTCGTAAAGTTGTCCATTCTTCGCAAAGATCTTTTAAAAATAACACTATTTTCTAGATCCATTAAACCACAGTACCTAACAAAGATTTTTATTATTAGGACTCACTTGATTATTTTTTTAAATGTTTATTTATTTTTGAGAGAGAGACAGAGAGACAGAGACAGAGCACAGCAAGGGAGGGGCAGAGAGAGAGAGGGAGACACAGAACCTGAAGCACGCTCCAGGTTCTGAGCTGTCAGCAAGACAGTTTGTGGGGCTCAAACTCCCAAGCCGTGAGATTATGACCAGAGTTGATGTCAGACTCTTAACCGACTGAGCCACCCAGGTGCCCCACTATGCCTCACTTTATTAAAGTCCTAACTATTCCCTGATAATGAAACAAAATAAAGGTCTTTCCAATGGCCATTTAGGGGCATAAACAAATACACAGGAATAGGAAAAAAAAAATTTCTGAGTTATTTCAGGAAAACAAAGATTAAAAAGTTATCTACTAGGAACATATGTAACTGTAACCAATAAGTGATGTATTTTAACCCTCAAATATAATAGTGAATAGCAAAGGCAGGATTCTAGAACCTTCTGCAAGGCAACAACTAACAGGTTTGCCGCAAACAGTTGCCTTCCATCAGGTACGAAGGCAATGAGGAAGCCTTCATTTCTTTCAAGCAGGAATGTGCCCTTCACAGTTTCATAAGCTTATTTTGGGCAAAATCACTCATGTTTTAAATGTGAGACTGCTACAGAATAGTGGAGGGACTCCCAGGGATGTGAGACAGAAACTCAAGCTTTCTCAGCTCTCACACCCAGACTCCTGGGTGACATTACATGTTCCCAGGCCAGTACCTACATTCACCCTCTGTGAGGAGGTGCTGGAGGAACAGAAGGCAGCAGCACAGCCTGAGAACCCAGAAGTCAAGTTTTAAAATATATATATATTTCTTTTTAAAGTTTCCTTTATTTTTCTGGGAAAATAATTAAAACCAAATTTAAAAATTAACTTGCAAGTTATTAAAAGGCTGCTACTTTTCTAAGACACCAACACTTGGGGCACCTGGGTGGCTCAGTTGGTAGAGCATGTGACTCTTGATCTCAGGGTCATGAGTTTAAGCTCCACTCCAGATGTGGAGCCTACTTAAAAAATAAAAATTAAAGATGCCTCACGATGAGTAAAAAGTAAAATAAAGGGCGAGGGATCCAGCCTAACACTCTTACCCACTCTCCTTTCGCTCATTTCCACCGGAGTCACGGGGGACAGCCTGCGAGCAGGCTCGATTGTGCCTTGGTGACACCGGCCTCAAGTTCTGTGTCATTTTCATGACACTACAAGTGCATACGACATCGTAAATGTGCTAACCACAGGCCATGACATCATACTCACTTTAATCCAGGGATGTCCAGAAGATTAGTCAGTCCTGTCCAGTTAATTTCTATCAGCTGTTTAAAACAAAGCACAAAAACATTAAGTATCCAGATGATTTCTAATTATCAAATCATACAGGTTTCTTTATAAATAAAATGAGTTAGTACATAATACTGTCCTACATCTTGCTTTTCACTTGGAAAAAATCAAAGCCACTGTCCTTTATTGGTACATGAAGAGCTATCTCTTTTTTTGTTTTGCTTTTTGATAACATCAGTTTCCTCCAGTAAAATCAAATAATAATTTATATGCCTTTCCTTCTGTTGACGAGCACTTAGAATATTTATAATTTTTTTTTATTGTAAGTGATGATTCAGTGAAAATCTTACATATATGTTCTTGTAGCATATGTAGACTAGCATTTAAAAAGTCAAAGTTTGGGTCAGATATATGCTCATTTGAAAAATTTTTTTAATTTTATTTTACTTTCAATTCTTATATTTTTAAAAAAATTTAAAGTTTATTTATTTTGAGAAGGAGAGCGAGCACAAGCAGGGGAGGGGCAGAGAGAGAGAATCCCAAGCAGGCTCTGTGTTATCAGCGCAGAGCGTGATGTGGGGCTTGATCCCACGAACCATGAGATCGTGACCTAAGCTGAAATTAAAAGTCAGATGCTTAACTGGGTCACTCAGTTAAGCCTTAACTAGGGCACTCAGGTGCCCTAAAAATTTTTTATTTTTTTAAAGTAATCTCCCCAGCCAATGTGGGGCTTGAACTCACATCCCCAAAATCAAGAGTCGAATGCTCCATGGACTGAGACAGCCAGGTATCCCCATAAGTTCATTTTTTATGTTGACAGATGCTACCCAATTGCCCTAAAGAAGAAAAATATTGTACTGATTTATATTCCCACCCAAAATGTATAAAATGTTCTTTCTTTATACCCTCACCAAAAACAGGTATTAAAAGTCAGTCCACCTGGTAGTTCAAAAAATGGTACTTTATCACGGTTTCAATTTGCATTTTCCTGTTATTAGTGGAACATGTTCTATCCATTCATTAACTTGTATTTTATTTTGCTCATTTTTCTACTGGGTATTTGGGCATTTACTCAGATAATACCTACATAGTTGGCTAAGATAAGATTCCATTTAGAGGCACCTGGGTGGCTCAGCCGGTTAAGTGTCTGACTTTGGCTCAGGCGATGATCTCACAGTTTATGGGTCCGAGCCCCACATCAGGCTCTGTGCTGACAACTCAAAGCCTGTAGCCTGCTTTGGATTCTGTGTTTCCCTCTCTCTCTGCCCCTCCACCTCTTGTGCTCTGTCTCTCTCTCAAAAATAAAACAAAAACATTAAAAAAAATTTTTTTAATTCCATTTAGTGGATGTAGATAGGTAAAAAAAAAAAAAAACTTGATTAGAAACACTGATTTGTGCCTTATATTTATTGAAGAAATGCTACAAGAAATTGCATAATTTCAGTTACCCATATAGTTGCAGCAATAAAACTTCTCAAATCCCTTTGGGAAGTGGATAGTTATAAATAAATATGAACTAGAAGAGTCAAGTTTGTTTTGGATAGACCAAAACTTAAAAAAAAAAAAACAAAAACAAAAACAACAATTTTAAGGAGTCCTGAAAGACTACTATTTTTCAGAGTAAGAGAAATGAAATACAAACTTATTGCAAATATCAGTATAAACTCGTATTGGTGCCCTGCACACCTCCATCCCCCAACGAAAAGAACAGGTACAGAAGCCATGGCAGCCTGGGGCAACCAGCACTGGCCAGCGCCCTGATCCTGATCTCTAAACGCATTTCCAAGGGATTCTGAAGAAACAGCTGATTTCAGGTTGATGAGCCTGGGGCATCTTGTTGAAGCAGAAAGCTTGGGTAACACCCAAAGATTAATGAGAAGTTCTGTCAAAGGTCGGTGCCCTGAAAGGGACTTTAAAACTAGAGATTATAAGGGCACCTGGGTGGCACAGTCAGTTGAGCATCTGACTTCCATTCAGGTCATGATCTCGCAGTTCATGGGTTCGAGTCCTGTGTTGGGTTCTGTGCTGACAGCTCAGATCCTGCTTCAGTTTCTGTGTCTCCCTCTCTCCGTCTCTGCCCCTCTCCCGCTCATGCACGTGTGTACGCTCACACTCTCTCTCAAAAATAAAAATATTAAAATTTTTTTTAAAAATTAAAAAAATTTTAATGTTTTATTTATTTTTGAGAGAGAGACAGCATGAGCAGGGAAGGGTCAGAGAGGGAGACACAGAATCCAAAGACAGGCTCCAGGCTCTGAGCTAGCTAGCTAGCTCTTAAGCTAGACGCTTAACCAACGGAGCCACCCAGGTGCCCCTAATTTTTTTTTTAAAAAAACCTAGAGATTATAAAACATCATATGACAGAGGGCTTACTCTCATGACCTTTGTCAAATCGATGACATACATTTAAATGCTATCCAAGTTCAGAGAAATAAAACACCAGGGAGGCATGAACAGGATTTCAGAAGGGCAGGATTCAGCTAGGTTTAAGAAGAGATCTGAATGCAAGAAGAAGCCCCCAGGGAAGGGGCCCTTTCAAGGGCCTGAAGGAGGGGATGTCATGTTCTTGAGCACAGGGGAGGTAGAGACAAGAAAAGCCCAGAGCCACAGAGGAGGAAGGAATGAAGAGAGTGGAGGGAGAACTTATATGTGAGAAAATGAGCATGTGAGTTGTGAGCAACGTGTAAAAACGAGCATATAAGAGAATGAGCAAGCATGGGTAAGTGAAAACATGAGAGCACATGAGAATGTGTGTATGTGTAAGAATAAGTGTGAGAAAAACAGTGAATGAGAATGAGTGTACATGAGAACAAGTGTGAGTGTGAACATGTGAGAATGTGTAAGAACTAGCATGAGAGAACAAGCACGAGAATGAATGTACATGAGAACAAGTGTAAGAGTGAATGCATGTGTGAGACTGTGTAAGAACAAACCTGAGAAAGAGCAAGTGTGTTAGAGAACACGTAAGAACGAGCATAAGAATGAGTGTGAAAATGAGCGTACATGAGAACAAGTGTGAGTATGAGGCCTGAGAAGGCAGCCACGAGAAGGCCGGGACCCAGGCAGTGCACGGGAAGCAGGAAGCACAGGAACAGTCTGTGCCCCGCCCCCCCAACCCAGGGGACTAAGATGTCTGGGGCAAGAGGCAGTGAGACAGTTTTCCCATCATCCCTCAGGGCTGCTGTAGTTCTTCTAGAAGAAACGGGATCAGTAATGTGGTTACAGTTCCAGTGGCACAACACCAATCTGGTTATGTCATGAAAACCACAGACGTGCCTTTCTCCTCTCTGCTTTTCCAGAAACTCATGGTCTGATGGATGTAGTAAAATAAAATATACAGTCAATTGATTTCAGCACTTACTATATGCCAGTGTTCTAGGTGCACAAAGTTGTTCAGCACAGACCACGAGTCACCTGGGAAGTCTGATAAAACAGACTGGTGCCACCCACCCTTCTCAGAGTTTTTCAACTAGTCAGTTTTCACTGATGGTAAAAAGTCAAGAATGTTTTTCTTTATTTTGAAACTTATGGGACTTCCAGCTTCCCCCTAGGATGTAGAAACCTGGGAAGAGCATCACTGTTGAATCCATAAGACAGCTGAGGAGACAGGTCCACGAACCCTTCCTTCTGGGAAGCTCTGAGAGTGGCTGAGGTACCAGAGGGCAACTGGGAGGTTCCAGCTAGATCCTGACTGTTAGAGGCCAAGTGCAGGTGAGCCAGAGTAAGCCCTTTGAAATCCACAGATACAGGGCATCTGCAACTCACTTGGTGGGCAGAGCAGTGCATGTGTGCAACAGAGGCTGGGGAGAGCGTTTCTTGCAGGGGTGAGACCAGGGAGGGAGCAGCGCTTTGGGAGACATAAATACCACCTTCTACTGTAAAGAAGAGAAGCCACGGGGAGAAGGGACACATAGGTAAAGGCTCACTGGAACTGGGGGAGATGAGAAGAAAACACACCCTAGATCTTGAGGAGCATAGGACACCATCCCAGGATCTGGCCATTAGACCCTGCACTGCTGGAGGTAGGTGTGCAGACTCACTCCTGCATAAGATCCACCAAAGGCAAAAGCATGAGAAGAAAGCAAGGTCACTTGAAAGAGGGCCAGCCTCAAGACTCAGGGCAGATGAGGGCAGTGGGGAGCTCCCTTCTCTCTCCTACTGGGGGTAGGGCAAGACTATCCAAAATAATGAAAGGTATCAAAGCAGAGATCCAAGACGCTCGGAGGACACCTGGCAGGTAAATAGCCCTAAAGCTCCCAGGTGACCTGATGAGTGCTCTAAGTCTGGGACCCTCTCCCGTCCAGTGGACTCTGGGGCATGTCTGCCCAGCCCTTCCTTTCCACACAGGGTTGCAGGGATTGGCTTCCAGGAGCCTGATTCACACACTGCAACCTTCCTCCTCCCAGCTGGTCTAGAGGTCTGTATCTGACCCAGATGGAACAGGGAAAGGGAGCCAGGAAGATTCACTGCCTCTTGAGTGCACTGGCAGCCTTGTTTCTGGCCTGTGGACTGGACGACCAGAGGAAGGTGGTCTCAGAGGGAAGAGAGAATGGAGCAAAGGCCTAACAGGCATGGGTGAGAGTTGCAAAGGCTTTCAAATTCTGCATTCCAGTAGGTTTTGAGACACAGCAATACATACTAATTTCATTTAAATAAAGGCTTTCCTTTTTCTCCCATCCTTTGATTAAGGGATCTCGGTTGCTGGAGTTGTAGCTAACAGGACTCAAGTTCTACTCACAATCACTGTAAAAGGAAGATGTTATTTCCATTTTTACAGATGGAGAAATACAATCTGTGGTTCAAAGACTCAGGAAGTATGCCCTCTGGTAGGTGGGAGGACCCTCTTAGGATAAACACGTTCGTAGCACACCTCAGATCATCTCCTGGATTTACTCTAGGCTAATTTGTACCCCAGGGAAAGACAGAACCAAGGATACCAAAATCCCCTATGTCTGTGTGCGAGGGAATTCCAACAACACTCATGTTAGCATCAGTGAGTAGCCAGTTCCCAGGACATATGTAAGGGGGAGACACTGGCTTACTCCAGCTCTTAACCAGAACCTTCACTTAAGTCACTGTATTTACCAAAACTTGACTTCTGGTGTTAAGATCCACCAAAATGCTATACCTATGTGTAGGAAAATATTTAATTTCTTAAAAATCTGAGGACTTACTATGCACCAGGCTAATGCACCTACTGTTTTACTCCTACTGGCATTTAATCTTGTGAGGTAGTCCCCCTGTGACAAATGGGGAAACACCCACTGACATTTCATCTCCACATTACAGATGGGGAAACCTGGGCTTACAGAGATTAAACAAACCACGCAATGCACACGGTCAGAAAAGAAAGACCAGGGGTGGAAGACCAGGCTGGAGGGTGCCCAAATCTGCCACTTTAACCACACCGCCTTCACTGTGCTCCAAAAAAGTTGGGTCACTTCAGAAATTTTTAGTTGTTTTTTTTTTTCTTTAAACACGTAGCACATTATCAAAACTAAACAAATCAACAAGAACAAAAATGTACAAAGGCTTCATAAGAGTCTCTGGCACTGTACTTTTATATCATCTGGTTACTTACCCCCCCCCCCAAATCTTTCTAGCTCCATTTCTCCTTGGGGTGACAAAGAATTACTTGGCAGCCAGTAGTGAGTTCTGTACTCATATTTTCCAGTTGAAAATAACTGGAAAAAAAAATTCCCTTCTCTCCATATGTTTGGAGACTTTACTCACCATATAAGGAAATGAACGATTCTGAACTTTTCACAGCCTCCTCCATTTCTGACACTAAGATTTTGTTTGGAAGTTATATTACAATGTTATTTTTAAAGTTAATAAACCGATGGCAGATCCAACCTAAGAAGAGTATTAGTAAGTTTTGAGGGAGATTTAAAGATTTGCGTTTTGATGCTCAACGTCCCTCAACATCAGGAAAATACAAATCAAAAGCACACTGAGATACCACCTCACGCCAGTCAGAGTGGCAAAAATGAGCAAATCGGAGGACTCTAGATGCTGGCGAGGATGTGGAGAAACGGGCACCCTCCTACACTGTTGGTGGGAATGTAAACTGGTGCAGCCTCTCTGGAAAACAGTGTGGAGGTTCCTCAAAAAATGAACAACAGAACTCTCCTATGGCCCAGCAATAGCACTGCTAGGAATTTACCCAAAGGATACAGGAGTGCTGATGCATTGGGGCACATGTACCCCAATGTTCACAGCAGCACTCTCAACAATAGCCAAAACATGAAAAGAGTCTAAGTGTCCATCAACGGACGAATGCATCAAGAAGATGTAGTTTATCTATACGATGGAATACTCCATGGCAATGAGGAAGAATGAAATCTGGCCACGTGTAGCAACGTGGATGGACCTTGACGGTGTTATGCTGAGCGAAATAAGTCAGGCAGAGAAGGGCATATACCATATGTTTGCACGTATAGGAGGATTAGGAGGAACTTAACTGAGGACCATGGGGGAGAAGAAGGGGAAAAATAGTTGGAGAGAGGGAGGGAGGCAAACCATGAGAGACTCTTGAATGCTGAGAACAAACTGAGGGCTGATGGGGGTGAGGGAAAGGGGAAGGGGGGTGACGGGCACGGAGAAGGGCACTTGTAGGGATGAGCACTGGGTGTTATGGAAACCAACTTGACAATAAACTAAGAAAAAAAAAAAAGAATTTTCAAACAAACAAAAAAAAGATTTGGGTTTCACTGTTTTCTGAACTGAAAAAAGGTTTTTCTTTTAATTGTTCAAAATTTCCTATAAATTAAAAATACTTTGCCATCTGCTAAAGATTAGTTTTTTATATTCATTAAAGAATAAAGTTTGTTAAACATGAAGGCTTTTAAGGAACCAACATGTGGAAAAAGTCCCATGAATTCTAATTCTTTTTTTTTTTTTAAATGTTTTATTTATTTCTAGGAGAGAGAGAGAGACAGCGTGAGCAGGGGAGGGTCAGAGAGAGAGGGAGTCAGAGACTGAAACAGGCTCCAGGCTCTGAGCTGGCAGTCAGCACAGAGCCCGACGCGGGGCTCGAACCCATGAACCGCGAGATCATGACCCAAGCGAAAGTCGGACGCTTAACCGACTAAGCCACCCAGGCGCCCCTTCTAATTCTTTTATAGAGCTCTTCATTTCTTAAAATTTTAATAAATTTTAACAGAGATTCCTTAATTCCTTTTTAATTTTACTATGTTTTGTGTAGTTACAATACATTAAAAATAACCTCATTAATTAAGCAATAAAAATCAAATCAGAATTTTAGTGGTAACATAAGGTAAAGACACATAATTCTTGTGTTTTTACATAGAGAAAAAATACCACTTGTAGTCTGGTCTAAATACACCCATATTTAAAAAACCCAACAATAATAATTTGTATTAAGTTATTTAAATCAAATTATAAAAATTAATGATCCCAATTTAAACTATACATGATGTTATTGGTACCTCCAGAAAAGACTCACAAAGGTCACAAAAGCAGTATATCATGAAAAGATACTTAAGAAACAGACCAATTCATTCATCAGATATTAACTGAACTGTATGGAGACAGCTATGGCTGTGGCTTTCAAAGAGTTACACAGGACAGTACAGCATCAAGGGAAAACAGTTTTGGAAAGGTGACCACCTGTGTCTCTGGAAAGGATGAAACAAAGGATGAAGACAGAGTTCTGGGAAAAGGAAAAGACAAGGGGAGGGAGGGACAGACAATGGGGGTTGATACTATCCTTGGATTATGATTCTTCCCTGTGGCTGGAAATCAGGATGCCCATCGGGGCAGTGCCAGGAAACGAGGCTGAAGAGGACCCCATCTAGACCATGATGACTGACTGTAAGGAAGAGATGCTCCCTAGTGGGTCAGCATGCACCTTGGGAAGACACCCCAGGGGTGCAGTCTACGGAAGACAGGGCCAAGACAGGAAGCCAGTCAGAGGCTGCAAGAACCCAGGTAAGGAGGAGCCTTATAGGTAAGGACCACCCAGGTGAGGGGGAGGAGATTTAGGAGTCAAAGGGAAGGGGAGGGGCTAAGGTGAGGAGTCTCCTAGGTAGGAATGACTTTTTTTTTAGTTTCTTTATTTATTTTGAGAGAGAAAGCACGAGCAGGGAGGGGCGGAGAGGGAGAGAGAGAAAATCCCAATCAGGCTTTAGGCTCAGCACAGAGCCTGCTTTGATTCTTCTGCCCCCACTCTCTGCTCCTCCCAATCTCTCAAAAATAAACATTTAAAAATAAAAAGTCTATATTTTCAAATTTTCTATAACAAACATTATTTTCATAATCAGGAAAAAAGCTGTCTATTAAGAGATTAAGGCCTCCATTAAGAGCATTTTAAAGAAGTATGAAAATAGAATTCAGGTGTCAGAAAAGGGAAAAGTGAGGGAAGGACAGACTATTTCTCTGCTTTACTTGGTCTCGCCAATGAATAGGAAAAATGAAATCAGCATCGACTTACTGGTTTCCTAAGGAAGAAGACAGACAAGGCTCCCACTAAGGGCATGTCTCCAATCAACGGCTCCAGGATCACCCGCATTGTACCATGAATCTAAATTCAAATGGGAAACCAAAACATGTCATAGAAGGCAACTCCATAGGCCATTTACTGACTCAAGTAGGAGGACTCATGACCCTCTTAGTGACTTCTGACTTCAGGTGTCTCTCAAGTATAACCTACAAATAGAAAACTTAACTTCAAAGAAATTCTGAGTTAATAAAAACTTCACAATTTTCTTTTTGAATACAGCATAGGGAATTTTAGAAGACTATGAAGCTTTAAAGACCTTACCTGTATACTTTGCACACCAGCTCTACAAAAATATCGTTTGATCTCCAAGTCAATCTCACAGTTCCCTACAAAACTAGTAAAGAAAAAATTCTGTATTACTGTCACTTAATCACCACAGATCTGCAAGGTACATAATCTGACTAAAAAGACAGCAAAGCAACCAAAATCAGCCTGTAGGCAAACCTGAGGCCCAGATTTGAGTCTTTAATGCCCAGAACTGCAGATGTCCCCTGCTAGCAGATTTGATACCTGCCACACTGATTACACGTGTCACTTCTCAAAATGCAATTTCTGGATCAATTGCTTGATGTAATGTAGTTTTCATTTGTTTTATAAACAACAGCTTTTGTTTAAAACATCGAAAAAGTTTATATTTCACCAGAAGTAAATTTTGCACCCATGCTCCCCAGTTCTGAGAAAACTAACTCGAGGGCTCTGGGCATCAAAGGTTAGAAATGATGCATCTATTTGGGAGGCACCAATTTTACTCAAAGATCAAGTCATTTCAATCATTAATACAAAGCCAGCAAAACAGCATGGACAGAGCACTATGCTGAATGGCAGGCTTGCATCTATTTCTGATAGGAGCATGAGACATCGCCTGTGTTCTGTGTGGGGCCTCTACAATCTGACTACCATCCTCAATTCCTGAAGCAGCACATCATGTTCCTGCTCCTGCCTGAGAATGTCTGGGTAAGTTTGATAAATGCAGGAAAGACAGTGTCTAAGAACACAAGTAAAATAGTAATGAAAAACATCTGGGATGAATTCTTCCAACATGTATGCCCTGACGTTAAAGCCAGCACCAATAGATTCTTCTCCCTGAGCATGACTCTGGATCTATCTAGTAAAATCACCTGTTATAAAACTGCCTTGAGGGGCGCCTGAGTGGCTCAATCGGTGAAGTGACCGACTTTGGCTCAGGACATGATCTCATGGTCCGTGAGTTTGAGCCTTGTGTCAGGCTCTGTGCTGCTAGCTCAGATCCTAGAACTATTCAGATTCTCTGTGTCTCCCTTTTTCTCTGCCCCTCCCATGCTCTAGCGCTCGCTCTCTCTCAAAAATAAACATTAAAAAAAATTTTTTTTAAACCATCTTGAAACTTGCCTATTCTTCACTGTAAGCTGCGATCACTTTATTTTCTCAATCTGTCAATTACTCCTTCCCCATCTTTACTGCTAATAATCTAATTAAGGTCACTGTCTGGAACACACAAAATAATGGAATGCAGTTTTTTTTTTGTTTTTTTTTTGAGACATAAACATCTGAGCAGCATACTCTGCATGTGTTGTTACGGCTGCTAAAACCATGAAAACCAGACATCTTCACAACTGTATCCATTAACCAATTCCTTCAAATGTGTATGAAACCCTCCTTGGTGCTGGAACAAGAGAACTTGAAAGTTTCCATCCTCATGAAGCTCATCAGCCTAGTGGACAGTCTCGGGGTCCACCTAAGCTGAAGACCCAGGGGGGCTTCCTCATTTTATTCTACAGTGACAACAGTGCTCACAGTATTGTCTGGGATTTTAAAGATGTAGACTTTCCATCAGATCTTTAAAGGTAGTCCATGTTCCTTTCTAAAGTAAAGGTAACTGGTACCAACAGTCATTTACTATATTTATACACTTTAAAAACTCAAAGATGACATTATAAAAATGATCCTTAGTCAAAGATCAAAAAAACAAAACTGTGAACCGTGTCTGTCAGTCCACACACTTCAGCAGCTGCCCCTTGCACAGTGTGTAACCAGGCCTCACAGGGATGCGGGAAGCCAGGAGCATGTTCACAAAGCATGAGGTCAAGAACTAAAGAAAAACCACCTTTATCTGCCAGGTGTGGTGCCTGTCCTCAATTAACATTTTTCCCAATTATTTTTTATTGTAATAAAATACACAGAACTTAAAATATCCCATCTTAACCATTTCAAAGTGTACAGTTCAGAGGCGTTAAGCACATTCATCTTGTGCAACCATCACCACCACCATCTCCAGGACTCTCTTCATCTTGACAAAGCCAAACTCTGCCACCTTAAACAACCTACCACGTCCCCTCCCCCAAACCGTAGTACCTGCCCTTCTACTTTCTGTCTCTATGAATGTGATCACACTAGGTACTTGATGTATGTGGAATCATACAGTACTTGTCTTCTTGTGACAGGTTTATTTCACACAGCATGATGTCCTTACGGTTCATCCATGTTGTAGCATGTGTCAGAATTTCCTTTTTTTTGGGGGGGGGGGGCTTTAGATGGTATTAATTAGCTGTATACTAAAATCACTTGTTCATCTTTTTTTTTTTTTAAGTTTTTAATCACCTGGTGCTCAGCATGAAGGATTTTTTTAAAAAGCTGAATAGGGGCGCCTGGGTGGCTTAGTCGGTTAAGTGTCCGACTTTTGCTTGGGTCATGATCTCGTGTTCGTGGGTTCGAGCCCCGCATCGGGCTCTGTGCTGACTGCTAGCTCAGAGCCTGGAGCCTGTTTCAGAGTCTGTGATTCCCTCTCTCTCTGACCCTCCCCTGCTCACGCTTTCTCTCTCTCCTAGAAATAAATAAAAACATTAAAAAATTTTTAAAAAAATAAAATAAAAAGCTGAATAATACTCCATTGCATGTACAGACCACATTTTCCTTATCCATTCACCCATCAATGAACATCCAGATTGTTTCCACATTTTAGCTACTCTCAATAATGTGGCTGTGAATGTGGGTGTATAAGTATCTCTTTGAAACCTTGTTTTCAATTCTTTTGGGTATAGGCCCAGAAGTGGAATTGCTGGGTCTTATGGTAATTCTATGTTTAATTTTTTTGAGCGAAAACTATGGTTTCAACAGCAACTGCACCATTTTACATTCCCACCAACAGTGCACAAGGGGTCCAATTTCTCTACATCCTCACCAACACTTGCTGTCTTCTACTGACAGTAGCCATCCTAATGGGTGTGAGATGGTATCTCATTGTTTTGATTTGCATTTCCTGATCATCAATGAGGGGAGCATCTTTTCATGTGTTTATTGTCCATCTGTACACCTTGTTTGGAGAAATGTCTATTCAAGATCTTTGTCCACTTCTGAACTGGTTTTTTGTTGTTGTTGTTGAATTTTAGAAGTTCTTTATATAGTCTAGATAGTAATCCCTTATTAGATATGTGATTAAATGGACTGCACGAATTCTACACATTGCCTTTAGTGTTGATATTTAATAATATTAAGTTTCCTCAACAAAGAACATGGGTTGCCTTTCCATTTACTTATGTCTTCTGTAATTTCTCACGGCAATGTTTTGTCGTTTTCTTTATACAAGTCTTTTACATTCTCAGGTTCTTTTTGATTCTACTATAAATGAAATTTTTTCTTGATTTCTTTTTTGGATTGTGCATGGTTAGTGTATAGAATGTAACTGATTTTTGAGTGTGTGCACACTTTATATTCTGCTACTTTGTTGAATTCATTTGTTAATTCTAATGAGGTTTTTTTGTGAATCCTTAGGGTTTTCTACATCAAAGATCGTATCACCTGTGAACAGAGACAATTTTACTTCTTCCATTCCAACCTGGATGCCTTTTCTTTTTCTTCCTGCCTAGTGGCTCTGGATAGGACTTCCAGTGCCATGAAGTGGTGAATGTGGATGCTCCTGGTCTTGGAAGCAAAGCCTGGTCTTATACCACTGAGGAGGATATTTGCTGTGGATTCTCGCATATGCCTTTTATTACACTGAAGTGGTTGTCTTCTGTTCCCATTTTGTTGAGTGTTTTTATTATGAAAGAATATGGAATTTTGTCAAATGCCTCTTCTACATCAACAGAGATGATCATGTTTCCCTCCTTCCTTCATTCTGTTAATGTGGTGTTTGGTTCATTTTCATATGTTGAACTATCCTTGCACCCTGGGAATAAATCCCACTTGGTCATGGTGTATAATTCTTTTAATATATTGGTGAATCCACTTTGCTAGTATTTTGTTGAATCATCATCAACTATGACACAAATAAAAACTTACCTAATCTGAAGGTCCAAAATAATTTGCCTTTTGTCCACATTTTCAGTGTACACCTTAACACCATTGATCCTGAGTGGCTGAAACAAGAAGCAGCTTATTTTAAAATGCAGGAAGGGTAAAAAATAAACTCAAATGGCATAGAGATGAGGATAAGCTTAGCACCATGCTACAGGAATTAAAGTTCTGCTTTCATAGTGTACTCGTTGTTTCACTTTGGGCAACTTATTTAGCCTCCATTTGTCAGTGTCCTCATTTGTGAAGTATGGATAACAGTGGCATCTATGTAACAAGGTTACTATGAAATCAAAGGACATCAGGAAATGTGTCTGGCATGTAGTGAGTGCTTAGTCAAGCTACATGGCTCTGTTTCTCCCAGTTTACTTTAATCCTTTTCCTCTATTCCTGCTTTGGATTCTGGGTTTCCCTTTCTCTGTCTCTCCCCCACTCATGCTCTGTGTCTCTCTCAAAAATAAATAAACATTAAAATTTTTTTAAAATATTAATGAATTCTGAATTTTCATTAGGATAAAAACCATGTTACCTTGGAAAGTACAACAGGAATGTTATTCATCAATTATATTTCAATTAAAAAAAGTTACCTTGAACTGTTACTAATTGTTGTAAACACTGACTTGCCAAAATAAAAAAGGAAGTTTGTCATAATAATCTAATTTAGATGTTGTCTTGAGATTTTCACCAAAAGCTGTATTAGGAATTAGGAGTTTTTCTTTGCATGTGGTTCCAGTAACAAAATCTTTCTTCCTTGCATCTATATAATTAATGTGATTCTACCAGCCTGGTGCTGGGAGTCCTTAACTGTTGTTTTTAAACATCTTGAGGGCATAAATACCTTAAGCTTGTTGTCGATTATTAAACTTCTAGTATTAATTCACATATCAGACTCCCTTTCCAACTAGACAGATTGTGAAAACTGCACAAAGGTGATTCTGACAGAAGGATGTGGTTACGACACTCTGGAACTGAGAGAAACCAACCAAGGAAACTGAACTGGCCAAAGACCACAGGGAAGAGTGAGGGCAAGTAGGGACCTCACAGAAGACAAGGGGAGGGCACCCCTGGGAGGCAGACCTGGGAGGCGCTGCGGAGATACCCTTCCAGGCCTTCCCCAGGAGGAATTTTCTCTAGAAAGTAATGTGAAGCTGCTTAATATATTTTTAAAAGTTTTCACAGCAATCTAGGGGCACCTGGGTGGTACAGTCGGTTAAGTGTCAGACTCCTGATCTCGGCTCAGGTCATGATCTCACGGTTCGTGGGTTCGAGCCTTGCGCTGGGCTCTGCACTGATGTTGCAGAGCCTGCTTGGGATTCTGTCTCTCCTTCTATGACCCTCCCCCGCTTGTGATCTCTCTCTCAAAATAAATAAATAAACTTAAAAAAAAAATTTAAAGTTTTTATAGCAATACTACCATGTGTACAAGAATACTTAGGAAGAAAAACTGACCCACTGTCTCACTCAAATAAACATTAAAAAATTAAAAAAAAAAAAAAAAGAAGAAGAAGAAGAAACTGACCTGCTGACCCACATCAACTTTTGTGAAACTAAAGGTGCTGAGGTGGGTGTTCGCTCCTCGCACAGCTGGCTCTATGGTTTCTCGAAACAACTTCTCTATAAACTGGCAAATAAATGGCCACATATGTTTTACAGTCTGTAAAGAAGAAAGAACTCCTATCAAACAAGATACTATAACACATTATAATGTACTTAAGTCATCATGAAAAATTATATCCCTACAGTTTACCAGAATTTTTGAAAATTAAAAGGGGGTTTCTCCTTTTTGGTATGCAAAATCAACATGATCTGAATTTCAAAAATGTACAATAAACTACTGATCAACTAGTATGTTTCAGGAATTAGTTATTCTGGAAAGCATTCCATTTAAGCATATTAGCACATTTAAAGTTGCTAAAAAAAAAAATCAGAAACCCTGTGGTTTCAACTTATTGCTAAAAACCTAAAACTGTATAGCACTTTATAAACATTAATGAGTTTTCTTTAATGATGACTAACTTCTGGTGCTATAAAGCAATCGTTAATCTACATTAGTTTTTACTCTATAGTTCTAAGGATATATAACAGGGATAAAAGAGATCTACTTCAAATTATGTGATCTTTAAAAATAACCTTTAAAATGATTATTATTAGGTTTCTTGAGAATTATTTCCTTTTTTTTAATATTTTCAAAAATTTTGCCTATAATTATTATGAAATAGACTCAAATACTAGCCAGTCAGGAAAGCAGACACAGGCCAAATACACAACTATGAATATATCATTAATTTTTTCACGTTAAAGACACAGTTCTCACTATTTAGGAATGTATCAGTTATGACTCAATTTTTTTGGAAGCAGAAGCCAACCAAGTCCAAATGAGCTCACACACTGTCAAAATCCAAATTCCCAAAAATGGAAAGATGGCACTTCACCCTGTAACCCCACAGATAATCTGGTATTTGGTATATTCTACTCTTACCTTATTTAGCCATTCTGCTCTCTCAGTGTCTGGAAAATGAACCTAAGAGAAAAATACACATACATGACTTATTGACTCCCAACAACTACATAAAACATCACACTGAATTTCTTACTGTTTGCCTATTGTTTACATGATGTATCATTACAATGCCCTGCTCTGACAATGGCTTCTGAGGAGAAACTGAAATGTGTGGCACTCAGGTCCTTGCATCCCAACAACATTGAGGCAGAAAATTCTAATGCCGGCCAACGCTACAGACCCTTCTTTGTATCTGCAAGGCCCCAAGGAGAGTCACTGGAGTCAGGGAGAGTGTTCCATGTGCTTCTCCCTGCCATTGCTGGCACTGCCATCAGTCCTCCAGACATCCAGCTTCCGAGAACCCACCTTTCCCTCTTGCCTTCCTCTTTTGGCCCAAACCAGCCGGCAGATGCTTTTCCTCATTTGGCTCCACTCCCACTATCTCCCAAATGAATACTGATTATAGTCCTCCATGAGCAGGGCCTGTATACTGGACAAAATGAGTGTTTGCAGAGACAGAAATAAATCTGTTTAGAAAAAAGGTGGAGAAGTATTTTCTTTGCCATTAAAATAAAACCCCCTTGCAGAGGAAGGCTAAAGCTGTTTTGGTAGGTAGCTGTCCTCTGAGAAACGCTATGTACTCCCTCAAAGAAAGAATAGCATATTGACCGTACTAACGTTCTGAAAATGGTATTTTTGGCTTAGATGTACAATGGATCACAGGCAGTTTTGTAAGGGTGACTGGGATGTGGTCAGAGAAATATTCTGATTTCTGGAACTGCCATGCTCACTTTCCTAAATAACACCGGCGCAGCAGTCAGTGAAAGACAAACCCCGTACCCCATACTCCGGCTGAGACGAGCTGGTCAGGGGACGTTATGGTGGCAGGTGACAGGGGGGTTCCCAGGCCCATGGCTCTCGGAGAACCAACCCCACCTCTCATGCTTGGCCCTGAGGAGTAGATCACTGACGTGCCCAGCAGCAACCAGTGGAGGCCATAGTGGTCCACAGGAGAGGCCATGGCGGGGTCCACGGGCTGGAGCTGCCCAGTCCTCACCACAGATTCAATGTGCCTGCCCCATACGGGTGGGCTACAGGGAACTGAAACATATTCTCAGTCAGTCAGCTTGAGTCCATTCTAGGACAAGACCAAAGGGATGGCAACTTTCCAGAATTAAGAAAAAGCCTTAAGAAGGATGATGTCAAGAAGAGGGACTTGGCAAAGAGAAATGTGGGCAAAGGCTGCTTAAATCCAGAGGACATGTCACCTGGAGAGGCCTATCAGACCCGAGTGGAACTGCAGTACCAAAGGGACTTTCTTTCCGGCAAGAACTAAGACACTGGGGCTGGCTGGGGAGGTTGCAGGGCTTGCTAGGGAACACGTGCAACTCCTCCGCAGGCTGTGTTCTGCCGTTTCTTCACTTCACAGCCAAGTAGCCAGGGCTCTAGGTGAGCCCAGGAATGCCAACAGGGGGTCGCCACTCCAGAGTACTAGGCCATGAAGCAGGGCTTCAGCTGTGGTCTGAGGCGGCAATTTACTGTGAGGCTGTCTTCCCTTCTGCTCCCGCCCCCTGAGGCCAACCAGCCACACTGGTGACAGAAAGGACCAAAAAGCACGTGCTGAGCACCTATTTGGGGACAGCCAGAGTTCCCACATTGTGTTCTTCCTTCTATAATTTCCGAGTAAACGACACAGTCAACAAAACTCTGCAGGCCTGCCTTTTCTGGAGACGCTGGGACTGCCTCGGCCCGCTTCCCTGGGAGGCCAGGCCCAGCTTCCCAGCTACACTAACTGGGGCTACGAGCTCGAGAACTCAAACACAGGAGCCACGTTTCAATCACTTCACTCAACACCATAAACTCCTACATGTTTATCAAACAGGAGATCAAAGACTTGCCTCAAATCATATTTTGCTTTTCAGAGACATCTCTATTTCTACTTAGAACACTACTGAAATTACTGTAAATTCTTTGGGCTCTACTTTCATGTAAAATGTTATGTGAAGTGTAAAGCCTCAATATGGTGTTGGAATTAGTTTAAAATTCTGTATCATTCCACACTGAATAGAATAACAACCATCCACGACAAGACAACCCTGAGGACCCCGCGGGCTTACAGGTGACAGCGAGACTGCGATGCCTGGAGGTCAACAAGAGGGGCGTGCACGGGGGGCCCACGCCATCAGGTCTCTAAAACTTGAGCTGCTGCTCTGTTTCATAAAGAAATATCCCCAATGTCGAGTGTCCTTTGAAAACATTACAGCAAGATGAGTTTAATCTGCCATGTATGCATTCCTTTTACCTGTTTTCAGATCTTTTCTTTGTTCCCGAATGTTACAAAGTGACAACATAAACTGTTTGCTTATACCTTATCCCCATAAACAACTGAAGCCCATCTGTGAAAACAGTGACTTTATCTGTTGTGATCTTAGACTATGATGCCGCAAATCAGCACTCAAATCACACGTCGGAGCGCCCACCCTACCGAGAACAGGGCAGGCTGGTGACTGGCCGGCACCAGCGCCCCTCCGCAGGCAGGCAGCCGTGTTCCTCAGTAACAGAGACAGAAGTCAGTCCCACCAGACACACCTGGGCCAAGAGGGGCTGCTGCGTCCTCTTCCCTGAGCAGGGGGTAAGCAGCCGGTTCCTTTTTGCTAAATGGTGGAGAGTGCTCTTATAAACTTAAAAACCTCAGAGAAATTGTTTCTCTGCATTTTAGTGCAGAAGGTTTTCCTACTACTACTCAGGGGTAAAATGTGTTTTTTTTTTTAAGATTCCTTAGTTTCTTTGAAGAACTGGATTCTTGCTAAGTTCGGAAACCCCATAACCAGGTATCCTAAGTATAATGCCTCACACAGAGAAAGCTTTGACTAATCTAGATTTTCTATCCACTTCAAAGATTAGGGTATTGTCTGGAAGTCCACAAGCACAAACATGAGTGTATGCAAATCTGTGAGACAAATTACCAGATTTTTACAGAGTCCACAAAACCAAGAAGGCTAAGATTATAGAATGAGGGGCACCTGGGTGGCTCAGTTGGTTAGGCATCCGACTTCGGCTCAGATCATGATCTCACGGTTTGTGGGTTCGAGCCCCACGTTGGGCTCTGTGCTGACAGCCAGCTCAGAGCCTGAAGCCTGTTTCGGATTCTGTGTCTCCCTCTCTTTCTGACCCTCCCCTGCTCACGCTGTCTCTCTCTCTCAGAAATAAGTAAAACATTTAAAAATTTTTAAAAAATCATAGAATGAGGTGCTTGATAAGACTGAGCTCCCTTCAAAGATTTTTGTATAAAAGGTTCAGAGGAGCAGGTGTGGGAAGGCAGATGCTGAAGACCTAGTCCTTGGATGGCTGAGAAATAGGTAATAAATCTCCTTCCAACTGGGTTTCTGGAAGATTAGTGAGGGCATTATCAATCTTCAAACCCAAGTGTACTTGTTTGAAATGATCAAAGTAACAGCCATGGCACTATTCTGTGCTGCTCTGTGTGCTCTGTGCCAGTTCCATGCTAAGCTATCAACATACTTATCTGAGGTAATTCTTACAACAAATCTACAAATAGGAACCATTAATTTCCTCAATTGACAGGTTAGGTACTAAGAGACAAAATGGAGATGAAAAGCCAGATTTGTGTGCCCCTGCTCTTGACCACTTTATTACTAAGGGATGTTGAAAGTGCTTGGAGATAGTTAATCCACAGAGCCCATCAAGTTCTTAATAGAACGTACTCTAATCAAAGAGTAAAGCTTAAAACTCAGATTATATGCCTTAAATTGTATGAAGTACTGGGGCACCTGGGTGGCTCAATCGGTTGAGCATCGGACTCTTGATTTCAACTCAGGTCATATTCTTGCAGTTTGTGGATCAAGCCTAGCATCTGGGATCGCTTGGGATTCTCTTTCTCCCTCCCTCTCTCTTTCTCTCTCTCTGCCGCTCCCCAACTCGTGTGTACACCTGTATGCATCCTCTCTCAAAATAAACTTTAAAAAATTGTATGAAGTATTAAGTCAAAAGTAATAATTTTGTGTTTAATAGTGATCTACTTACCTAGACTCTAGAGGTCAAATACAGTACAAGTCCTGAAACAGCTGATAACAAAGTTCAGCAAGCATGACAGCAATTCACAATAAAACACGGTTACCAGACCCACTATTTCTAAGACTAACAAGACGGCAATTTAAGGACTGATTTTATATAATATTTGCATGAAAGGGCCATGATACTTAAGTACTAATGATAAAATATCACATACGTACGTATCACCCTTGTGACCCAGCAATTCCATTCCTAAGCAGTGATTAACTATCTTTTGCAAAAAAAAAAAGTCCCAAAATGAAAAACAAGTGCCTTCTCTAACATTATTTGATTTCTCTAAGTTCATTGGTATTTCTCAAATTAAGTCTGCCAATGTGCTAGTAAATTCTTATTCATTCTATTATACAAAGCCAGAGTGATGCTATAAAGTTATTGTTTCTTTCTTGCAAACACACACCAATGCCACAAATTGCTTACATAATTTAAATTTATGTAGTAATAAAGCTTCTATACTCCCCATCAAGCACCAAGACAGAAATCCAGGTTGACTCATGTGAGTTCTGGTTTTATTACTGCATCTTTGTCACTGTGCTAGCCCTCACTGCACTGCTCATGTAGTGAACTGAAGAACAGACTGAATCAAGTAGCCATTTTTTGAGCAGTTACTTCTGGCTCTGTCCTCAGAGCTAGGGATACGACACAGACTTGGACACACTACTGTCCTTGGGAAGCTGGTGGAGTGGACTGGTGTGGAAAGGTGTGACCACCAGTCTGTGAGAAAGATCTGGGAGCCGGAGGGGGATCTGATGCTGCTTGGAAGAGTCCGTAAGAGATTTGGGAAGAACACAGTGTATGATATGGGTTTGGAAAAATTACTTGGGGTTTGCTATGCAAAGAAGCGACTAGTCTAAGCAAAAATCATGGCATATGCAATTTACTCTGGCTGGATTTGAAGATGGGAAGAATGGTAAATGCTGAAGTTGAAAAAT